AAGGAAAGCATGAACGCCGTCAATCGTCATATGATGCTTGAAGCCATCATGCTTGGAGACTGCACATATATGCCAAGGTATACAGTTGAGAGACTTTAAGACTTGTTATGAAGCCGTGAAGGGGGACCCCGACCAAACTTTTTTCAACGCGTAAAAGTAAGCCCGAACCCCGACAATAACCATGTATTTTGAATACCGATACGAAGTCGAACATAACATGTATAAAAATATCTGAAAATAAATTTGGCAATCTGCGGTAGCAAGTGTAGGTCGCAATTGTTAAGGTATTATCTTGCTCTTCTAGTTTTTAGTTGAATACCATTTAATTTTGGATTTAGTGGGTTCATGAAAGTTTTTAATTTTACTGGGCGGCGCTCAGCCTGTTTAAAGTGTTATTCCGCCGCATCTTCATTCTTCAAGTTCAATCGTTTATGAACATTAACTTTAAGCCTCGGTCCCCACTTCCCAGGTAAGAAAGTTCACGAGGAGAGTCATGATTTTTCCCGAGGATCCTGGAAATTTTGAACTTCCTCTGGCGTCGAGCCTGGCGATTTTTCTACAATGTTAATCGATCTGTCCACTTCCAGTTATTTTGATCTGTTAATTGTGAAAACATACATTTGGAATGTTCAGACAAACATTAAATTTTGTGCATCTTCAGTCATAACTTACACTGGTTGGTACTCAGTACTACCGGGCTATCTATACTGTTTCATAATATGCAATTTAAACATCCGTAGCCAAATAAAGAGTTAAACGTTATAACCCAGAGTCACTACTATTATTAGCACTACAAGTAGCTCAAATTGCTGCCAAATTATCACTTTAAGGGCCGTGAACCACGTCAGTCTTCGATTTCAAACACCTAGCACATCTTCAAAAATTTAGAAAAGAGGCATTCTGGACGTATGGAGCGAGTATGGTTTGCCAGAAATGAAAGGTTTCTTCAAGAATTTACAATTTTTATTAACATTGAGCTTCATCGACATTAAGCCAGTCACTACGTACAGTCATTAGCCAGTTAATAGCAGTCACTGCTCAAAGATAAGGGAAATCAACGGATCCGTTCAATTTCAGACAAGTTAAAGAGCTCCCAGCCCCAGGCATTGAAGCTTTTGCATTAGCTTTTGATTGGCTTAATCACATTAGCACAAGGAGATCTTTGCCCTGTGAAATAAATCAGTAATGCGCTTGCTGTTAAAATATTCACGGAGATGAAATCAAGCAGGAGACAACTATCAAGGGCACTGATACCCAATTATTTATTTCGCATATTATAACGACTCCAGAAAATAGTTAAAGCAATCAGACTGCTGACACCACAGAAACAAAACCCGAGAGATATAAAGACGGACTAACAATCGGAACTGTCAATGAAACAGATTTACCTTAAATTTAATGTGAACATATAAGTATAGTGCTTGGAGTTCTGACGACAGCCTGATAAATTGAGAATATTTGATAGTTATGATGAAACAGAATTATTATCCAATTATGTACTTTGAACCAGTCTATCGTAATTACCAGTCGCACTTTTATTTTCCATATCATGGAGCAGCAAGTCCAATTCGCTTATTTGGATCGGAAGTGAATTTCTTGAAAATAAATTTGGAAGGTTTCGACTTGAATTGAACAAACAAAAAGCACCCATATAAAAATGACTTATAAAAATTCAATAGATATAATAAAGTCTGTACAAGTCTCGAGTCACGCACATTCGTGACATTCAGCATACAAAGGCGATAGGACTGAATCAGCAGCGCATATCAATGAGAAAACACAAAGTAATTCCCGCATAAATTGAACAAAAGGTGCTTAATCGGGTGAAAAGAAAAGGGCTTTCACTCGGACACGTTTCATTATGCTATGTTAATGAATATTGGATATTGGATGTAGTTTATTTTTAGTTATTTTTGCGGCAAGTTTCCATAACTAATTTTTTGTGATCAGCGGTAATAACCGCTTTTTTTACGCTAAAAAGCGCTTATTGATAAAACCCACCGTTATTTGGCGATTATAAAGCGATTATAAACGGTCCCGTTAATAAACGATTAAAAACGATTATATCGCTTTTTCCATAAAATATTTTTGCAAAAGCGATTATTAGCGCTTTAAAAGCGACAATAAATCGCGAATTAAAATTATTAGTGATAAAAAAACGCTTTTATTTTAGGGTTGTCGATTATTATCGCTCCGTAAGCGCTTTTCAAAAAAACGCTTATAAACCGTTTTTTGGACCGTTTTTAAAACGCTTTTAATCGACTATAAGCGATTATATTCACTAGGGAAAGTTCCAAATTAAAAAGCGCCTACTAATCGTTAAAAAAACGCTTTTTTATTTTAAGTTAATAAGCGGTTTAAATCGATTATAAAACGATTATAAGCGACAATAAGCGATTTTTTGAAATCTGCTAAAAAGCGATATTTTCACTATGATCAGCGCTTATACCGCTTTTCTTGAAATTTTCCTACTGAAAAGCGTTATAAGCGCTTATTTATTTGCTGTCTATAAGCGATTATAAACGATTATAAGCGCTTTTTTACGTATTTGAAACGAGGAAAAAATTGTCAGGTACGAGATATTATAAGCGATTATAAGTGATTATAAAGTATCGTAAATGTTATTGTCTTCAATTGTCGCTTATAAGCGATTATAAACGATGAAAAGCGCTTTTTGACGCATTTTAAAACTATGATCAAAATATGTTTTGATTTGATTTATTTGGGGTATATAAGCGATTATGTAAGCGGGGTATATAAGCGATTATAAACGATTATAAGCGCTTAATTCTTTACGTATTTGGAACGAGGGACACAATTAACAACAAAAATTACGCGAGAGCCGGAGGTCCCCAGGTAACGTCTCCGTCTCCGTCTCCGTCTCCGTCTCCGTCTCCGTCTCCGTCTCCGTCTCCGTCTCCGTCTCCGTCTCCGTCTCCGTCTCCGTCTCCGTCTCCATCTCCATCTCCGTCTCCGTCTCCTTCTCCTTCTCCTTCTCCTTTTCCTTTTTGAATTCGATTATTTAGGGCTAGGGCTCGGGAATTAGGGTTGTGGTAAGGGTATCGGATAGCTTCGGGGTTATATATTATGGTCGTTAGGGTTGGGGATTACGCAGGAGGAGCAAAGTGCAAAGAAACTGCCACAAACTGCTACAAACTGCTACTAACTGCTACAAACTGGCACTTACTGCCACAAACTGGCACTAACTGCTACAAACGGGCACTGACTGCTACAAACGGGCACTAACTGCTGCAATCGCGCCCACGCATTGCTCCTCCTGTGATTAGGGTTTATGTAAAACCGTTTTTACGGCTGCAAAACTATAAAAACCTTGTACCCCCATCGTTGTTTCATTATACCCCTGTAGAGTTTCTACGATACAGGGGGAGCTGCGCAATTGTGCGCGGCGGGTCATACAACGTATGACAATAAAACCAAAGTCACATGAAATTTTTGGGCGAGCGAATTAGTCAAAGCCAGCTCGGCATTTTGCCGCAATCTACGTGGTTGCGAAAAGGATTATTTGATGCGCGGCGCAGCCCAGTAGTGCATCGCGCTACAAGTAATTGTTCTAGTTCTACTTTATTGTATCCCAGAGTGGTATTTGACGCACGTTACTGGGCGGCGCTCAGCCTGTCATTCCGCCGAATCTCTATTATGAACATAATAGCCTGAGGTCCCCAGGTAAGACGCACGTTATAATTGTTTATATTAGGCGTGCAGAATTTTAACAAGAATTTCAACAAAAATTTTGCCGCGGTTAAACCACGCACGATCAATTTTTCTAATTGCCAAACACCACTCTGGGATATACTAGTGACTAGGGGGTGCACCATAAAAATAAACTTGCTCGGATTTTTAAAATGTTTGTACCATTGTTTTCTAGAGACTGTGAGAATTTTCACAATACCAAATTTGTCATACCTTTTTAGAAAGATCAGTGAGTTTCGCCTAGGTGCCATATTTGATGGTGCGCGGCTTTTGGAGCAAAATTAGCTGTAAAAGTCGCGTAATTTGACCAAATTTGACCAAATTCGTTGATTTTTGTCGTATTATTTGGATATATCTTCAGTTCCTTGCATGAGATCATTCTGAAAATTGGCGACGACCTTCCAATAGGGCTTTCACAACTGTCCGAAAAATTTGGTGGATATTGGAGTTGATATAGTGATCAAAATGGGGCAAAATACGCTGCTTTTAGCTGTAACATAATGTCTGATGGTTGGATATGCTTTAAACTTTTTGGACACTTTCCTTGTAAGTCTATGAGTAAGATTACCAATTTTTGTTGCAATCGGAGGTCGGGAAGGATACTTAATATCTACCCAGGAAAAGTTACCGGCTGGTGGTGGTACTATATATAGAGTTGGTTTAATTTAAACAGACGGCTTGACCTCGCGCGCGACAACAAGCATGATTTGCACGCGTGGCGCATTCCAATGTTCAGGCAGCTACCACGTGACACAATTCAGCCAACCAGAGTACAGGAATCCGCAAAGTTAAAGTTACAAACTTTTGATCGGCCCGAAAGGGGACTTTTCTGGAGATTTTGAGATAACTCAACAATTACGTTGTCTTGAATTTTCCTCCTGGAGAGGTAACGTTATTTTTAAAAGAGGAACATGTTACAAAAAACCGGAAGTCTCTGCAACTCTTTTACTTTCAAAGTTAAGCCCCATCCGGTCAGGGTTTCTGGGTATTTGTTTGAAGAAAATTGTGCTGGCCGAAATTAGCGCTAAAAAACCATCCTACAGTCGGCACGCGCGGCTCACTGTCGATGACGCACTACCTAGATATACAATATGAATAAAGTAGAACAATTACTTGTAGAGCGATGCACTACTAGACTGGACTGCGCCGCGCATCAAATAATTCTTCTCACAACCACGTAGATCGCAGCAAAATGCACTATTGGGCCTTGCCGAACTGGCTTTTATTAATTCGCTGATTTGCTCGCCCAAAAATTGTATGTGACTTTGGTTTTTATTGTCATACGTTGTATGACCCGCCGCGCACGAGGTGCGCGGCTCCCCTGTATCGTAGAAACTCTACAGGGGTAAAGTAAAACGGCGATGGGGGTTACTGGGCGGCGCTCAGCCTGTCATTCCACCGAATCTTTATTCTTTATGAAACATAATAGCCTGGGGTCCCCAGGTAACGATGGGGGTCACGACGTGATACAAGGTTTTTATAGTTTTGCAGCCGTACAAAACGGTTTTACATAAACCCTAATCCCAACCCTAACAACCATAATATATAATCCCGAAGCTATCCGATACCCTTACCACAACCCTAACCCGAGCCCTAGCCCTAAACAATCGAATTCAAAAAAGGAAAAGGAGAAGGAGGAGGAGACGGAGACGGATACGGGGGCAGAGACGGAGACGGAGACGGAGACGGAGACGGAGACGGAGACGGAGACGGAGACGGAGACGAAGCTATCCGATACCCTTACCACAACCCTAACCCGAGCCGCGCCCTAGCCCTAAACAATCGAATTCAAAAAGGAGACGGAGACGGAGACGGAGACGGAGACGGAGACGGAGACGGAGACGGAGACGGAGACGGAGACGGAGACGGAGACGGAGACGGAGACGGAGACGGAGACGGAGACGGAGACGGAGTATCATATCAAATTGTTGTTATTCTCTAGCCGACGGCTTGCTAGTTAAATAAATCGTACGCGTAATCAGTTTCAATCCCGGCCTCACGGAAAATCTTGAAACACGCGGTATCATAAACGTATTCGTAAACGGATGAAAGGCGACCATGTTACTAGTTCTATATAGATTATAGCTATAAGTATTAGTAGAAGTGTTACTGAGAGATGTGCACTTTGTGTTCATGTGTCGGCAAGAGAATAACCTCATTTGATCTCCTTTTCCTTCTCCTTGTCTCCTTGTTTCATTGTCTCCTTGTCTCCTTGTGTCCTTGTCTCCTTGTGTCCTTGTCTCCTTGTCTCCTTGTCTCCTTGTCTCCTTGTCTCCTTGTCTCCTTGTCTCCTTGTCATTGTCCTTGTTTCATTGTCTTTGTCTCCTTGTCCTTGTCTCCTTGTCTCATTGTCTCCATGTCTCCTTGTCTCCTTGTCTCCTTGTCTCCTTGTCCTTGTCTCCTTTTCCTTGTCTCCTTGTCCTTGTCTCCTTGTCCTTGTCCTTGTCCTAGTCTCATTGTCCTTGTCTCCTTGTCCTTGTCTCCTTGTCATTGTCCTTGTTTCATTGTCCTTGTTTCATTGTCTTTGTCTCCTTGTCCTTGTCTCCTTGTCTCATTGTCTCCATGTCTCCTTGTCTCCTTGTCTCCTTGTCCTTGTCTCCTTTTCCTTGTCTCCTTGTCCTTGTCTCCTTGTCCTTGTCCTTGTCCTAGTCTCATTGTCCTTGTCTCCTTGTCCTTGTCTCCTTGTCCTTGTCTCCTTGTCCTTGTCTCCTTGTCCTTGTCTCCTTTTCCTTGTCTCCTTGTCCTTGTCTCCTTGTCCTTGTCCTTGTCCTTGTCCTTGTCCTTGTCTCCTTGTCCTTGTCTCCTTTTCCTTGTCTCCTTGTCCTTGTCTCCTTTTCCTTGTCTCCTTGTCCTTGGCCTTGTCCTTGGCCTTGTCTCCTTGTCCTTGTCCTTGTCTCCTTGTCTTTGTTCTTGTCCTTCTCCTTGTCTTGCTCCTTGTCCTTGTCCTTCTCTTTCTCATTCTCCTTCTCCTTCTCCTTCTCCTTCTCCTTCTCCTTCTCCTTCTCCTTCTCCTTCTCCTTCTCCTTCTCCTTCTCCTTCTCCTTCTCCTTCTCCTTCTCCTTCTCCTTCTCCTTCTCCTTCTCCTTCTCCTTATTACCAACATCTTATCATCGTTGTACAATTTTTGTGGTTGCAAACTTTCAGTTCTCTGGCAACAAGGATTAAGATAGATCGCTAAATATTATGTCAATGTGTACAGTGTAACTATATATTTCCATATAACATATAGTGAAACAAATGAAATTAACTCAAGATTAAGAAGCGGTTGTAATTTATCAAAACGCAAATTATTAAAAATCAAAACGCAAATTATCGTCATGACGGCAAAAGATATATCTTTTATTTCCAATTTGCTGCGAAAATATTGGCAGATGTGCAAAAAATCCCAAGCTTCCCTAGAATTCATGTTTTACTAGCCTGTCACGTGACCAAAAACGGTTTTTTTGCTTATAACTCTCCAGGGAAGCATTTTTACCCTACGTCATGGGGGGGGGGGGTGATTCGGAATTAGCGTCCAAAAATACATCGATTCAGATCAATTTCATACCCAAAGGGCCTTTTCACAAGAATTTTCTTAAAATTTGGGCGAGCGATTTAGTATGAGCGCGCCGAGCTATGTCATTTATAATACCTTATAATCGCTTATAGTCCAGTCATTTATGGAAATGAACCTGCAAATTTTCAGATACTCACGAAACTTTGCACAGACCTTCCCAAAGGTATGAATAAACGATTTTCGGTTGGAGACATTTTTTTACCATGGGGAAAACCCAGGAGGGCCACGCACATATTGACCCAATAACGTAACCGACCCTTTGCTTCTGAAGGTCGTAGAGACTTCAAAATAGGCTTAAACGAAGCCGCATATGCATGTTTATATAGAAGTTATTGATCAACACATGGCCTAAAATCCTTAATTTTCGAGAAATTCGCCAAAAACCATTTTGGGCGAGGCGCTGAGCCAATTTGCTAACTTTTGATATAATCGTGATAGAGTCTTCGGACAAAGTGCAAAAGAACCGCAATTGGCATATTTATATATGACTTATGAAGAAACATGTGCCTTAAAGTGCTTAATTTTTCAGTTATTGGCGAAAAACTGATTTTCGGTTCCAGAAATCATGCAAAAATATGGGTATCTGGTAAATTGGGCTATGAAGGCCCTAGAGATTTTTGAATGAGTGCAAATTGTGCAGAATGGCCATGTTTATATACAACTTATGAAGCAATATGTACCCTAAAATGCTCACTTTTCGAGTTATTTGGGGGAAAACCAGAGACAATTTTCACGAAATAGAGCAAAATTGGTTATATCAGCCATTTTTGCCTCCCGTTCTATGTTAATAACTCGAAAAGTGAGCATTTTAGGGTACATATTGCTTCATAAGTTGTATATAAACATGGCCATTCTGCACAATTTGCACCCATTAAAAAATCTCTAGGGCCTTCATAGCCCAATTTACCAGATACCCATATTTTTGCATGATTTCTGGAACCGAAAATCAGTTTCCGCCAATAACTGAAAAAGTAAGCACTTTAAGGCACATGTTTCTTCATAAGTCATATATAAATATGCCAATTGCGGTTCTTTTGCACTCTATCCGAAGACTCTATCACGATCATATCAAAAGTTAGTAAAATGGGCTCAGCGCCACTCCCAAAATGGTTTTTGGCGAATTTCTCGAAAAGTAAGGATTTTAGGCCATGTGTTGATCAATAACTTCTATATAAACATGCATATGCGGCTTCGTTTAAGCCTATTTTGAAGTCTCTACGACTTTCAGAAGCAAAAGGTCAGTTACATTATTGGATCAATATGGGCGTGGCCCTCCTGGGTTTTCCCCATGGTAAAAAATTTCTCCAACCGAAAATCGTTTATTCATACCTTTTGGAAGGTCTGTGCAAAGTTTCGTGAGTATCTGAAAATTTGCAGGTTCATTTCCATAAATGTCCATTAATAACTGGACTATTATTATAATATCGCGTAATTTTGTTGTTAATTGTGTCCTCGTTCCAAATACGTAAAAAATCAAGCGCTCATAATCGTTTATAATCGCTTATATACCCCGCTTACATAATCGCTTATATACCCCAAATAAATCAAATCAAAACATATTTTGATCATAGTTTTAAAATGCGTCAAAAAGCGCTTTTCATCGTTTATAGGGGGGGGTGTCACGTCCGTCTATGTCCGCTTGTCTCATAGAATCCAAAAAGGACAGGACATAGGCGGACATAGGCGGACATAGGCGGACATAGGCGGACATAGACGGACATAGGCGGACATAGACGGACATAGGCGGACATAGGCGGACATAGGCGGACATAGACGGACATAGGCGGACATAGGCGGACATTAATGGACACCTAAATTGCTAAATAAAATGTTCAATTTTTGCTGTTATAGGGGGATCATGTTTTTTGTCCGTTCGGTACCCTATATTTTCAAAACGGACAAAAAATAGAGCGGACAAAAACGGACAAAAACAGACAAAAATGGAAATAACATTTAGATGCTTCCTCCTCCTACTCTTCCTCCTCCTCCTCCCCCTGGGTCTTCCTGATCTTCCTCAGTCCTCTTCCTCCTCCCCTCCTCAGTCCTCCTCCTACTCCTCCTCCTCGTCCTCAGTCCTCCTCATCAGTCCTCAACAGTCCTTCTCCTCCCCAGTCCTCCTCCTCCTCCTCAGTCCTCCTCCTGGGTCCTCCTCCTGGGTCCTCCTCCTCCTCTTCATCCTCCTCCTCTTCCTCCTCTGTCCTCAGTCCTCCTCCTCATCCTTCTCCTCAGTCCTCCATCCTCCTCCTCAGTCCTCCCCCAGTCCCCTCCTCCTCCTATTCAGTCCTCCTCCTCCTCCTCCTCCTCCTTCTCAGTCCTCCTCAGTCCTCCTCCTCCTCCTGAGTCCTCCTCCTCCTCCTCCTCCTCTTCCCTTTCAGTCATCCTCCTCAGCCATCCTCAGGCGGACATAGGCGGACATAGACGGACATAGGCGGACATAGACGGACATAGGCGGACATAGGCGGACATTAATGGACACCTAAATTGCTAAATAAAATGTTCAATTTTTGCTGTTATAGGGGGATCATGTTTTTTGTCTGTTCGGTACCCTATATTTTCAAAACTGACAAAAAATAGAGCGGACAAAAACGGACAAAAACGGACAAAAATGGAAATAACATTTAGATACTTCCTCCTCCTACTCTTCCTCCTCCTCCTCCCCCTGGGTCTTCCTGATCTTCCTCAGTCCTCTTCCTCCTCCCCTCCTCAGTCCTCCTCCTACTCCTCCTCCTCGTCCTCAGTCCTCCTCATCAGTCCTCAACAGTCCTTCTCCTCCCCAGTCCTCCTCCTCCTCCTGAGTCCTCCTCCTGGGTCCTCCTCCTGGGTCCTCCTCCTCCTCTTCATCCTCCTCCTCTTCCTCCTCAGTCCTCAGTCCTCCTCCTCATCCTTCTCCTCAGTCCTCCATCCTCCTCCTCAGTCCTCCCCCAGTCCCCCTCCTCCTCCTATTCAGTCCTCCTCCTCCTCCTCCTCCTCCTCCTTCTCAGTCCTCCTCTTCCTCCTGAGTCCTCCTTCTCCTCCTCCTCCTCTTCCCTCTCAGTCATCCTCCTCAGCCATCCTCCTCAATCCTCCTCCTCCTGGGTCCTCCTCCTCCTCTTCATTCTCCTCCTCTTCCTCCTCGGTCCTCAGTCCTCCTCCTCCTGGGTCCTCCTCCTCATCCTCCTCATCAGTCCTCCTCCTCCCCAGTCCTCTCCCAGTCCCCCTCCTTCTCCTCCTCCTATTCAGTCCTCCTCCTCCTCCTCCTCCTCCTATTCAGTCCTCCTCCTGAGTCCTCCTCCTGAGTCCTCCTCCTCCTCCCTCTCAGTCATCCTCCTGAGTCATCCTCCCCAGCCATCCTCCTCAGCCATCCTCCTCAGTACTCCTCAGTCCTCCTCCTTCTCAGTCATCGTCAGTCCTCCTCCTCAGTCCTCCTCAGTCCTCTTCCTCCTCTTCCTCCTCCTCCTCTCTCTCTGTCATCCTCCTCAGCCATCCTCCTCAGCCATCCTCCTCAGCCATCCTCCTCAGTTCTCCTCCTCCTTCTCCTAGGTCCTCCTTCTGGGTCCTCCTCCTCCTAGGTCTTCCTGATCCTTCTCCTCCCTCTCAGTCATCCTCCTCAGTCATCCTCCTCAGCCATCCTCCTCAGCCATCCTTCTCAGCCATCCTCCTCAGTACTCTTCAGTACTCTTCAGTACTCTTCAGTCCTCAAAATGTTTGTCCGCTAATGTCCACCAATGTTCGCTAATGTCCACCAATGTCCATCCAAGTCCGCCAATGTCCGTCCGGGTCCGCCAATGTCCGTCAGAGTCCGCCAATGTCCGTCCGAGTCCGCCAATGTCCGTCCAAGTCCGCCAATGTCCGTCCGTGTCCGCCTATGTCCCAAAAAACACGTCCGTTGTCTCATAGAATCCAAAAAGGACAGGACATAGGCGGACATAGACGGACATGACACCCCCCCCCCCCCCCCCCCCCCCCCCCCCCCCCTTTATAATCGCTTATAAGCGACAATTGAAGACAATAACATTTACGATACTTTATAATCACTTATAATCGCTTATAATATCTCGTACCTGACAATTTTTTCCTCGTTTCAAATACTTAAAAAAGCGCTTATAATCGTTTATAATCGCTTATTATAGACAGCAAATAAATAAGCGCTTATAAACGCTTTTCAGTAGGAAAATTTCAAGAAAAGCGGTTATAAGCGCTGATCATAGTGAAAATATCGCTTTTTAGCAGATTTCAAAAAATCGCTTATTGTCGCTTATAATCGTTTTATAATCGATTTAAACCGCTTATTAACTTAAAATAAAAAAGCGTTTTTTTAACGATTAGTAGGCGCTTTTTAATTTGGAACTTTCCCTAGTGAATATAATCGCTTATAGTCGATTAAAAGCGTTTTAAAAACGGTCCAAAAAACGGTTTATAAGCGTTTTTTTGAAAAGCGCTTACGGAGCGATAATAATCGACAACCCTAAAAGGGCACTTTCAAAAACTATGTTAACGAATCTGTCACGGGAAAAATTTCAACTTCTAGAAGCTCTCATTTGGTGGATAAACTCAATATTTTGATTAAACTTTTTTTCAGCAGAGGATTTGCGATAGTTCAACTTTTACAAAAAGAATAAAATGTCTACTATGTCTATGAGCAGAGATACACGCATTCAAATCAGGGCTAATAATGGTGGATATACTTTTCAGAGGGGTTTGGTGGATATATCATTGATTGGCTTGTAACTTTACGTGTGGTTAATTTATGGTGATTATTTAAAGATAGAATTGTAGCAAATCGATATGCCTCTATGATAAAAGGCGAAAATAAAGAAAGATTTCAATTTTAAGGCTAGATATGGTGGATAATAAAACGATGAAATAAAATTCAATACCGAAAATTTTCAACTGAAAAAATTATATTGGTCAACAAGTTCACCAGCTTTACTCAGTGAACGGATCAGGTTGGAAATCGTTTCAATTTTATGATAGCATAGAAGATTTAATTTTTAGGCCATTTTTGGTGGATATATTGGAGCTTCAAGATTGATTTAATTTTAAGTCAATTTCTGAGTCAATAATGCAGGTTATCCATTGTTAGACCCCAATTATCTCGTCTAGAAGCTGAAAATGTATACAATCATTGCTCTAGGGCCATAAGGAATGGATATAGTTTCATACGAACTTAACAAAATGTCTCCTTTCAGCCTTTAGAGCCGTTTTTGGTGGATAAAAGCACACAAACGGGAAAATTTGATTTTTTATCCACTTTTTTTGGCCCAAGATGTGTTCTATCATGAAACTACAACTGTTTCTAGATAGAAGATCCCCTTAGCTGAGTCAGTTCAAAAGAATTCTCAGTCCAAGACGACTTTTAAGGTTAAAATTGGTGGATATTAAATTTTAATAACCTACCTCAGCGATTGAAATAACGATTTCTTTACTGATAACGTATGTGATCCACTTTCAAAGCCCAATAATTATATCTTAAGGTCGAAAGAGCTGAAAATCAATGCTCTGAGGTCGTAAAGAAGGGCTATAGTTTCAAGTAAACGTTCCAAACAGTCTCCATTTAGGGCCGTTTTTGGTGGATAAATGCCTAAGAAATTAGCTTAAAAACGGTTAAATTTGCTTTTTTATCCACTATTTCTGGCCTTAGATTTGCTCAATTATGAAATCATACACTGATATTGGTTTGTTTAGACCTTTTTCTTGTTCAGCACAAAATGTGATAAGCTCAAGCCGACTTTTAAGGCCAAAATTGATGGATATCAAAATATCCAGGTCGATATTTTAAGTATTTTTGAGTTAATTATCCACCAAATTGGCCCTAAAAGCTTAAAATACCATACTACCTTTTACATTAATGTTCAACATCATATATTTTATCTTTATCAACTGTTTCTAATCATGATGATGTCTTATTTAATGATATTTTGGTAGCATTTACGTGTTTAATTAATTAATATTGACTTATATCCACCAAAAATAGCCTTTAAACTTAAATCTCGAACTCTAAGTTGGTGCCATTCATTTAACATTGCCTTTGCACTATTTTAAGACCAGTAAATTGATGTTAGCTAACAAATAACAGTCTTAAAAAAGAGGTAAAAAAATATATCCACCAAATTTGGCCCTTAAGAAAAATCCCGGCCCTACATATGAAATTGTGAAGTTATAACGATTATTTATAAGTCTCAATCATATTTTAGGAGTTTAGATGGAATTAAATATTTTTAAAGGCCACCTGAAGTGGATTGGTCTGTTTCACTTTTATCCACCAGATTTAGCCCTAAATCGAAACAAAAAGTGGCAGATAGTAAAGGTTAGGGTATAGCACACCATATCCTGGAGTTTCATCCCGTTCCAAAAATTATCCACCAAATTATGCCACAAAAACTGATTTTTGACAAATTTTAACATTTTTTCCGTGACAGATGTTTTTGAAAGTGCCCAAAATAAAAGCGTTTTTTTATCACTAATAATTTTAATTCGCGATTTATTGTCGCTTTTAAAGCGCTAATAATCGCTTTTGCAAAAATATTTTATGGAAAAAGCGATTATAATCGTTTTTAATCGTTTATTAACGGGACCGTTTATAATCGCTTTATAATACTATAATACCTCCGCCACTGAGTGCTGCGCGCTATAATTCCCGACAGCTTGCTGGAGGGAATTTGCGGGCACGAAGTTGCGGAGGTATTATAATCGCCAAATAACGGTGGGTTTTATCAATAAGCGCTTTTTTAGCGTAAAAAAAGCGGTTATTACCGCTGATCACAAAAAATTAGTTATGGAAACTTGCCATTTTTGCCAGAAGACCGCAAGAATGGCTGGCGAGACGTCCATTATTTCGATATTCCCCAGATCACAACACTTGAGGGAGAATGAGTGGCCACTTCCCGTTCAGCCGTCCAGTACAACTGTGTATTTAACTTAAGAAGAAACTAGTAACCTCGCCAGATAGGGGCCCTCATTTCCGTTTCTTGTCCTTGAAGTCGAGAACGTAACGTTGCGGGACAGGAAGAGGCGGTGCGTAACCCTCGGCGTAGTAGTTGTCGTAGAACATGACCTGATAGTCGTCATTCTCGGTCTCTGGGGGCCTGAAGAAATGTGAGTTAAAATGGGGTACTTTTACAAATCTGTTTTCTTATATCAGTTAAGTGAATATATTATCTGTGCCATTAAAGTTTCACTGCTTTAATAAACTTTGAACTGAAAAAGGAGTGAAGTGGAAGAATCACAGTTTGGTCGCAGACCGACAAGTATTCCTCCTCACCCGGGTCCCGGATTCGTGAAACTTATTTTTTGGGCAAATACCAAACTTGACAGAAGAGAGTATAAAATAGTGTTAATTCCTACTTGTGAATTGTGGCGGGGTAGAAGCAAGTAGTTTGGGGGTAAAGAGCCAGAACTTTGTGTTTGGGCTGAAAGAGAAGGTGACCGTGGGTTGGAGGGTTCAGTTTCCGGAGTGGTAGGGGTATGACTCTTCTCCGAGAGAGAGTGTGTTTGTCACTGTTCTCTCCTCGCTCGTCCTCCTCTATATCCTTCACCTGCAACATGGATACTGCTCCAGTTTCAAACACAAGTTAATCGTGCCATAATTTTATATTTAACGGAATCATTAATTTTAGGCTGGTGGAAATGAGAGACTCAGAGAGGATCTAATGAGTCTCAGGACACAAGGTGTGTCTCTAGAAATAATGTAGATTAATTCTCCTAATCTCTAGACTAGACTGTTTAGTATTAAACACTACGAAATGCCGTTATGATTCAAGTTACCTGGTACTTGTTGGTGTTGGAGTTGTAAAGGTAGACCTCAGCCAGGATCCAGTTGTCGTCAGCCACGTCATCGCACAGGGCTGCCACGTCATCTCCTGTCAGTATAGGATATATTATCGCAACTTCAAGCTTGATATTGATAACAAATTATCTATGTCAGCTGTAGACACACATCTGAAGTTTAACCCCTTTAACAATAAATTTGTCGATGACAATTCAGGCATTTCACAATGAGGAGAAAACGGACGTAAATTGGAAGTGGGATGGGAATGCATTTGAGACATGTTATGTTAGTCTATTTAGTGATTTACATCTGCATTTTTGAACGTTCCGATCAAAATGATCAAGGTACCGTGATTTTGACTCGGATCTCCATCTCCAGTTCATCAGTCCTTACTCCTTACTCTACGAATGATCAGTATCACGCATTAATGACTGGACTGTTTAGAGAATGGAAGTAGATTGGAAGTGGGTTAGGAATGAAGGAAGACACTCGGATCTCCATCTTTGATTATCAGTCCTCACTCCTTACTCATTAATGAAAATGGATTAGGTCTGAGTGAAGGGCTCTCGGATAGCTTACAATGCTATAAAAATAATGTCAGATTACTTACCTGGATTGCAAATGTAGGTGGCGTCAGCTGGTACAGTTCCAGTCAAAGCGGCTGGCGTCTCGCTCTTGGGGCCCATCCACGTAGGCAGCTGAGGATCAGAGAGTTAGTAAGGTAAGGTTTGAACTAACCAATAAATTGGTCAGCTGACTGTCTTTGAGCTGTACAAATAATTGATACTTGGTTCGTATAACGATTTCGCGCTAACGCCTGGTTTGAACCAGACCTAAACTTTTTCACGGTGTCCCAATAGTAATTGATAGTAACTGTGCAAACTTTTGGTCTAATTGCTTAACTATTTTGCTTATTCATCACGTACGCGGTACGGTTAACATTAGTACCGCCAGTTTTTGTTACTGTTTGACGTTATTTTTTAGAAAATTTAGATTTTGAGGATGGTATTTTTTAAATTTATAGAAACATGGGATGAACAAATATATTTTGGGAACTGTTTCTCCCCTAAAAGCTAGTTGGGGGTCCTGCTTTATGAGTCAAATGCAATCGTGTTATGTCAATGTTTTTGAACCATTCTTTCAAAGATCATGTTTACGACCAAGGATCACATAATGCAATCAAGGAAATTGAAAAGGCAGAATCAAAACGTAAAAGGTGCTTATTTTCGTACAAAATTAACTTAACTACAAAATTAACTTGTTTATTAGCAGTTAGGGCAGTTGTAAGCAGTCACGGTAGTTGTTTGAATTCTTTAATAATTTCATCCACGGGAGAATTTAATACACTGTCAAGTTATCAGAAAAGTGAGACAGGTAAATGCCAGCTGATCCATGAACCAAACGTTTGTACAGTAAATTCTGTGACGCCCCGTATCACACAGAACCAACTAACATCAAGGTATACGTTTACATTCCTACAAACAACTAACAAGGCTTTTAACTATAAGTATACCCATTATATAAAATTGTACCCGACATACGAAGAAAACCCGACCTTTAACAACGTCAACAGGGCGCAAAATTATGGCAGAACAGTGAAATATTTAACTTCTCACACACACAACTGTCATGTAGTGCATAACAATAACTAGCGACGAAAACTAAGTGTCGAGCCTGGCTTTACTTGGTTTGCCTTTTGTTGAAGCAGCGTCATGAAGAAGCCCCTGCGCATTGCTTTCCGAGGTTGTTGTGACCCAGCCTGCCTTGCCGGGACGGCTGGTGCTGTCCCCGAAGTGGACTCAGTGCCCGCCGCCTTGTTTTCCATTTTAGATATCTTGTTCAGAGCTTTTTGTATTATCTCTATCTCCTGCTGAGTCTCGCACATAGAGTTGCTGATTAAACCTGGTCAATAGAGTGTAAATGTTAAAGAGTTGGAGGTGAAAAACGTAAACCTAAAATTTACTAGTTTTACTTGTGCTGTGACGAAAATCGAAAAGTTTCCGAGATAAATGGGGATGATCCTTCTGCTCTGTAAGGAATGATTGATCATGTGACCCGCTTTCCCAAAACACCTAATGTATGTGCGACCCATGAACGATTATGTTAGCAAAAACCGGCACGCCCGGTTCCATTTCTCAGATGGTTTAACTTGAACAGAACTCTTTTTTGCATAAAATTAATTGAACTTTCAACGGCTTACGGCACCGAATCATCGATAGCGTGACGATTGCAATCTGAGAGTGAGAACACGTGATATACTCTAGAATCTAAATGCATAAATATTTCCTAGCCGAAAGGTGACTCATCCTAATCGCTTTAGTGGCGTTTCTTTTTAATTCTGTTTTATCGCTTGGTATCTCTTGGTTTTTCTCTATCATACGAGAACGTCTAACAAGCGCGTATAATAAACTTAAATATATGACTGTAGTTGTATAATTATATAATTCATCGTTTGAAAGCAATTTACGAACCCGTAATATAGAAGCTGTCAAATTAAGAATATGGACCAGATTGCATATCTAAGTGAAATTTTCTGGCAGGGTAATAAGACCCACAGATTTGCTCAAAAAAGTTGTAACGCCCTCAAAATCGCAATCAGTCGCTGGGATAGGCAATCAAATTATGAGAACTGAGTTTAAAGTAGATTACATCACATCTTCTCTCTCATTTTAAGAAGACTCCCGTGGGATTAATGTTATCTTAATTTAGTGCTCAGCCAGATGATGATGAGCCATTAATTTTTTCTATAGAATAATTTGTTGCATCAAATACAACGAATCGCAATTATCATAATGATTCATGACTCATGATTACGATTTATTGAATTAAGATACGAATAAAATCGTTCCCTGACCAATCTCAACGTCACAAAAGCCTGGTGGTATTGCTCATTTCTGAATACTTACTCTTGAGTTTGGTTTTGTAGGAGGGAAATGATCTTTGTTCGAGAGAGTTCTTGTCGTTTAACTTTGAGATGCTGTTCATGGTCTGCCCTGATCTCACTCGTTGATCCTGGGAATGTTAGATTTGTGTTTTTTTGTCTTTTAATTTTAAAGATAAGTTATCTGTAAATATTTCTATGTGATATGGGGTTTATATTAGTGGTGTTTTAGTGGTGAATGAGGGGACCTCAGAGAATGCGTTCCCAGTTCGGAAGTTTCCACTTCATTTTTAAATTCGACTGTAATGGAAATCGTATGTTTTCAAATCTAGATAATATAGTTCTGCGAGGAATATGATCATTTTTAAGCTTCCTTATTTCATAACGACGAATTGAAAGGCTACTTGCGAGCAGAAATTTGTCAGATCTACAACTTATAATGCTGAACCGACTTTACATGTTAAATTGGATTTCAAATGAAAAAGAGAAGAAATGGGCAGCGCAATGTACAAGCTGTTTCTCTTTAATGCATTTTGTTTGATATTTTCTTATTGAAAGGAATTAAGGTTTATAGCTACTTGTTATCATATTTCTATTCGAATTCTAATTTCTAACTTTGATCGACAGAAAAATGACAAATTGCAATAAGTTTCGCCACACTCTGTCGTTGAAACTTCATAAAGTTCGGAATATACAATATAGAGCAGGCAGGGTAGTTAACACATATTACGACAATGTATCTCTGCCAGCAGTTTATATCCTTGTGTATATTGCGTGACCAAAGTAGGCAATTTAATAATCCAATATCCCAACATCAAATATGGTTCCATTCCCAGACAAGGTTCATGCATGGACATTGACACAAAATCACATTACGATGCTGACATCAGGAGTGCAAGTAGCATTGGATTTGGTAGACGTTTACTACGCCCTTGGTCTCGGACTATGGCATTCTCACTTTCAGAAAATTTTTCGGCTGTGGCTGTAATTTTACAGCTTAACATATTAATACTGATAGCTAATTCCGACAGTGTCGCCATAAATTGTCACTTTAATCCCCATCCTCAGGATGGCATCCTGGGTTTCAACTAAATGCGGAAAATTTACGTAAATTATGAGCAAATCGTGAGGAATATGTGACAGACAGTCAAAGCAAATTCATGACGCCCAAACGAATCGAGCGGAGGCCTGAGACGGATCAATTTACAGAAGTTATTTTAGTCGTCACCTAATTTTCCGCTCCAATTTTGTCTGTCGACTTTGCATTGTAATCTTCTAAGACGACGTTACTTGTCACCAAATCTAGACTTACGATTTAAGATTCTCGCTATTCCATCCAAAATATAAAATTGAGCTAATCAGCTTCATTTAGATTTTGATTAAATATCTTATTAGGGTTGAATTTGCCGGCGTAACCACTCGTTTTTCGGAATAATCGGTCAAATTAATAACCAATTTGTCAGAAATTAATGATATCCTGCCATATCACGTGGTAGATATCCTGACATATCACACATAAACCCAGTCTGCTACTTCAGAAATTCAATTGTTAACAGAATTGTCCAAAAAGCAAATTTATTAAGAAATTCTAACTATGATTTGGTACGACAAATTCTTAACTCGCGGCGAGTGTTGTCACAAAGGTTTGGGTTTAAGCTGGGAGAGGAAGAAAACCGATTCTCATGCTCAGGGTAGTTTCCGGTAATAATCCGGCAAGATAACAGGTATTATCTAAACTGCTTAGTATTTAATGATCCATTAGCCCTGACATCTCATTAAGAAATTACCCTCAAATAACTACTTTGTTTAACGAATAACTGTTCAGTGCGTTGAATGTGTTCTGACTCGGTTAACAAATTCAATATATTTACGATTAACCGTTTCCTAAATTCTAACCCCAACTCCCTAGATTAGCTTGACCTGTTCGGTATGTGGTGCAGGGCCCTGGCAGCTGTGCCAGTATTCTTCCTCACAACTTCAGCCCTCAGTTTGAAGTGTTACAACGGCACAGGATTAACGGAATGCCGGCAATACAGCTGCTGGTCGAATAGTGGTCCTGTAAGTCAGTATGGATGCGGGCCATGTCCGGATATTGGAACTCAAGGTACTGTGTCCTGTACTGTCTGCACCACTGACAAGTGTAACATGTGAGTAACAACGTGTTTTATATTGAAAAGTGCTACCTTGTAACGAGGCCGGACAAAAGTACCACATCAACGCTCATATATCTAGATTCTAGCCCCATTTTTAAACCATTCCTGACCATGATTTCAACTCTACAGGCCAGAGTCAGTTGACGTGGTGGTTGCAGAACTATCAACGACATGGAGATGGCTTGTTCTTCTCCTCTTCTTCTTTTTGGCATTAGTCCTAGGTATTGTGGTTCTTGTTCACTTCAGGAGGAACGGCTGCAAGTGGGGATCCTCCAACGATACTACTAACGTAACTGAGCTGGGAGCAGACCGGCACAAAAACCGCAGATCATCCCTGGACAACGACGACAGGGACATTAACCAGTGGAAGGACCTTGAAGTCGACGTGTCGTAGTTAGCGACAAATTAACTAAGTTTAAAGGTAAGAGCTGGTGCGAGATAAGGATCTCAGTTTTCCTGATGCAATTTTTCAAATTGTTCATTGTGATTTCGAAATTCAAAAAAATGTTTGTCCAATTATAAACTGTTTTATTTGGTCAGTTATCAAGCCGAGAAGAAACACGTCAAGACGATGAAAGATGGGAACGGTAATTGGTAATGTCATCTCAGATTTGAGACATATCGAATACAGATTCCAGATGAGTCTGTAAACATGGGATTAAAGCTGATCAGTGACAAAATTTAACTAATTAGTTTGTTTCAATTAATTGACATAATATCTTGAATAGAATTAGAACTGTTTACAGTTTTGATTCTGTCTGGTTTTTAATGTCATGTTTTTCGGCAACAATTCAGATAGTGCTACTGCTATTAAAAATAAAACATACTTGGTTTAAGTGCTTATCTTTTATTGACATTAATTTGGTCGACTAAAATAGCCTAGTAGTCAACTTTCGATAGGAAAGAATGGCGAACACTATCGGTCTTTCTGGCACCCAAAATATTTTTGGTCAACTTGTAGATCTTTAGATGATTCATGTTAACATTTAGTTCTCCGATCACAAGCATAAATTGGACAATTTTATCATTAGAAGACCAAAATGCTGTCTCCATATTTTAGTTAAATTGCTTTTCATTGGTAATTACATACAGAAAGCAATTTCTTAACTTGTATTGCGTAAAGCAAGCAGCCAGAGACAAGGCTTGTACAAATCCTTCGGCTTACGGACTGGGAATATTCTTACGGACTGCGACTTCTCTAAATGACAAAATCGTGGGAAAATGTTTGAATGTGGTCCGGACTCTAGTCTAGGGCGTGACACTCTGAAACAATAGGGATAACCCCACAATAATATAGATGACGCATGCGAATTTATCAATATCAATCGAAAATAGGAGACATTTCTGTTGCCGCCCTAGAGTCCTGTTTCTCAGGGCGCCGTCCTAGAACCTCATGCCCTAGAGTCGAAGTCCCGATTCAAATACTTCCCAAGATCGCTTATCCAGTGGGCCTGTAACTTGAAGGATTTCTATCATCGTCATTCACATTGAAAAGATAAGAGTTTTCATTGATTAGTTTGGTAAGAAGTGAACCAATAATATGAATTTAATTTCCGTATGCACACTTTAAATACACTTAAATATACTTTCTTTAAATTATCATAACATAAAAGTTTGGGACGATTTCCAGGTAAACAGTCATATTCAAATAGCAAAATAGATGAACTAAATACATTTTACTTTAATCAGAATACGGTGGCCCAGGGTATGACTCCAAAGTGTAGTTAAAAGTAACAAACCTGAATTTGGTGAAGAAGAACATTGAGTTCTTGGTACTGATTTTTACCACCATGATCTGGCCTGTTCTTTATTTTCCGTCCCATGTCGCTGGGCCGAAACTCCGGCTTCTGCTACAGCATCTAACTTTTCATAAATCTAGTCTAATTTTCTAGTTAGGCAAATATCTGGAGAGTATTATTGATTGACCATGAATTACTATAATTTGTATCTTGTAAGAGCGTGTCTAAACGCATTATTTTCTTTAGTATTTCAAGTTTAAACAGTCAAACAAAGCATATTCTAAGAACATCGAGTCAAGTTTAAGGTTATTGAAGTACAAGTGCAAAGATATATATCACCGTTTATAGCCCAGGCAAGTGGTAATATTTGGAGTAAACAGTGACCTAGATTTTAGTATAAGTCAATGCCTTCAAATCTTAGGAGTTACAATAATGTGATTTTGTAAGAAACGTGACGCACATATAACGAAATGTTCGCATGATGTGCAGCTCTGAATATACCATATTATACAGCTAAATTTACAGAATTTAAATTATATCTTCAGTCCTAGCTTCTGTTTTTCGTTATTCTTCTTTCGTACAGTTGTAAGTTGTCTATCTTTCCAGGAACTCTTTCGCAGTTTGCAGGGACGGTTTCCGATGTATTTTCCTGGAATTAAAGATTGTTCAAATTTAATCGAAATTTTGAATTAACAATATAACTAAAAGACGTTAAAATTAGTAATCATAGAAGACGAATTACACTTGAATTGGATTGGGACTCCTATAGTCTATAAACAGTAGTGATGCCTCCCACTTTACTTTACCAAGCATTCCTAATATCTATTATCTAGAAGATGCAACCAATTTCAAACTAGCAGCCGCAGTAAACATTTTTAAAATATTCCAAACATTGTACTTTACCATATATTAAAAGCAAAATTAGGCCATTTAAAGAATAAAACTCACCATTGACTTCTCTCATCGCTTTTACATAGTCTGCCGAGTCCTTGAAGCTCGCAAACCCGTACCCCTTCGTCTTATTGGACCTCTTGTCTCTGATAACTTTCACTTTGACGAGAGAGGGGTATTTTGAGAATGCACGATACAACATCTCGTCGTTACATTCGTTTCCTATATCTCCAACAAATATCCTGCAAATATAATGTTAATCTTTGAGACCATTATTAAATCTAAGGATCCATTTAACTAGAAAATTTAAATGCAATAATCGATTCGAAAGTTCGTTTAATAAAAAGCAACACTCTGAATGAATTATATAGTTATATACCTGAAATCATTGTCATCCCACTCCATAAGACTAGTGTCTTCCCACACATCTCCAGCAGCAGTCCTGATCATCTTCCTCTCCCTTTTCTCCCCTTTCTTCTTCCCTTTCTTATTCGCCACCTCTCCCTGGCCCACAGCATCCTCTGGGTTCGGCGTCTGGTAAGGGAGAACTACATTCATATGGCGAAAGTATACCACAGAATTTGAGCAATCGTAAAGCTAGAAACAGATCAAGGTGCGAAAGTTTTAACCGCCTTAGAATTTATCTTTGTGTCATAATCTGGGGAAATTTAAATTTCTTACCGAAGTAGGAGGCATGCCCTGGAAGAACATGTTCATCTGGTCAGGTGGCATCATTGGTGGCATGGGCTGGCCAGGGTGAGGCCCATGTCCCATGTGGGGCGGAGGGGGTACCATGTGCGGAGGTGGAGGTGGTCGCATGTGAGGTGGTAACGGTCCCATTGGGGGCGGTGGTGGCGGCATCCCTTGACCTGGAGGTCTCGGACCGGGCAGGGGCGCTCTTCCTTGTCCTTGGCCTTGGTACCTGAGAAAATGATACTGGATGAAATGTATAGATGTTTTTAGGAATTTCACTAGCAGCTATTATTAAAGATTATACAGTAAAGAACTAAGAAGCAGAAAATTAAGCAACATTATTGGCTATTTTGTGACCAACACAAATTTTAGGTTCGAAATTACAGCTGATATGATATTAAGAGCTATTTTAAGTGAATACAAAAACGAGGGTTAACGTTTCGGCGCTCGCGCGCGGTGCAAGTGCGCGTATTATAGCTGTCGAACAGTCGTTCTTGGTAAATAAGGATGTCATCGCGTTTGACGCAAACTCGAATAGCAACTGTGACCGAGAAGACGTTTGCGGCGTGACAAATGCATGGTTGGGGTTTGGCCAATGGAAGTTCAAGAGGCATTCCAGAGGGCTTACAAACTTGGCATATCTGATATCACACAAGTATGTGACGCCCTTCAAGATATGACGAGGAATAAAGTCATAGCAGACGTAAAACAGCGATCGTGTTGCGTGATGCGCAAAGAGACACTCACTGTTGATTACGATGTGATCCACCATGTGGATTGTGGTTCATCTGAGGCTGTGGATATTTCTGACTGTTTGTTGCATTGGCAGCTGCTGTTGCCTTTGCGATGGCAGCTTTGAGTTCCAAACTTTCAGACTGCTTTTCGTACAGTCTCGGAGTGATTTTGGCTCCTTGAGAGGTTATTGAGTTACAGCTCTGTGGTCATGTTAAACACAAATAATCATGTTTAAAATTCGTAGGAAAGTTCTAAACTTTCCAAGTTCTGACTTACAGTGGGACGATTTGAAGTTGGCGGTCGAGATCGTTAAAAATTGCCTCCTCATCCTCTCCACTGGTTCACGACTGCCGAACTCAAATCGTCCCATTATAAGTCCTAAAACACAGGCAACTAAATTGAAGTATGATAAAAATAGAATTTTCTCTTTCCAAAGATCATGCAAAGTATGTGCAGGGGTGCATGAAAACAAAAAGATTTTCACAGTAGCCCGATGCGGGGCTCGAACCCGCGACCCCGAGATTAAGAGTCTCGTGCTCTACCGACTGAGCTAACCGGGCTTATTTGAAATGGAAAGTATATGTTCCATAAACCGAGCTATACTAACGTTTCTGTTGTGGCTGCTCAGGTTCGAATGTTGGAGGAGGGGCAGGAGTTGGGGGTAAAGGTATTCTAGAGGGATGTATGTTAATGAAGGCTGTGGATCCAGGAGCTGGTGCAGCTTTGTCCACAGTATTGGCGTTTGAAGCACGTGGTAAAGGAATGTTATCCAAAGATGGGGTTGAATTGACTATATGTGCTGTGTTCACGATACCTGAAGATAGAATACCTTTGAGTTTTAAATAATTTACACAAGTTTTAATATGGTGAATCTCAGAAAGTGTGATGTAATGTGTATTAAAGTCGTCCAGCAATATTATCCAAGCTGAAAACTCACTTCTCATGGGAGTTAAGGAAGGTCGGAGTTGCTGAGCAGGAATGCTGGTAACCACAGGTCGAGGTCGACTTACAACAGTTGTTACTATGCCAGGAGGCTGCAATCCTGTAACTTGAACTGCTGTGGGACCTCTATATGCTGTAGATGCTATTATTCCTGAAGAATTGTATATTATCTTTAAAAAGGCTGTGTTGTTGCATTACAACGAGGGTAAAATAAAATAACGAGCAATGCAACTTGTTCTTACTACCATACCCCACGGTACAGTAACTTTTAGTGTAATTGACTACTTGAATGTAATTTGAAACTAACCAGCAGGTCGGCTAGTGACCACTTGAACAGGATTAGGGCGGTTGATGAACCCCGGAGCCAGACTAACAAGAGTTTGGGTAGGAACCAGGATACCATTTGTAGGAGCCTGTTCTTGGGAGATCAGCTCCTCAAATAGAGCCATCTGTTGTTCTAACGAACCCATATTGTTATCCTACAATGTGGAGAGATAAGTCAGATGTTTTAAAGGGGATATAATCATTCGAAAATCTGTAATATTATATATTATAGTTATTTATTTTATATAATAGGATTTCTAAGAACACTAATTTCTAAGAACACTAACAAATGAAACCCAGGTTTTCTGAGGTTAGAGAAATACATACCTAGATATAATATCTAAATTTTCACACATCTTGCTAGGGGGGGAGCCAAGTGGATGTTTGTAGATATTTGTACCCTATTTGTAGATTAATGTAGAATGGATAATCCACGAAAAAAGTGGATGACATTCTACAAATTTATACATTTATCTCCAAAAATTCAGTAGAATTTCTGGGCACATATTTGAGATTAAATTTTTTGTAGATAAATGTAGATATTTGTAGATTATTGTCAATGGATAATTCACGAAAATTCTACAAATTCTACAAATTTATACATTTATCTCCAAAAATTCAGTAGAATTTCTGGGCACATATTTGAGATATACATTTTTTGTAGATAAATGTAGATATTTGTAGATTATTGTATGGATAATTCACGAAAAAAGTGGATGACATTATCCAAATATCTACAAATATCCACTTGGCCCCCCCCCCCCCCCCCCCCCCCCTTGCTATAGCTAATTGTGATGTGTAATGGAAAAAAATAAAACGAAAGTAATTCAAGATATAAAAATGTGGAATGAACAGTTCCAGTGCAGCAGAAGACCAATCAAAGTTGATGGTTATTGCAACAAAAATCGTTACCAGTGAGTTCAATTAACGATCTACAGATAAATATTAAATCAACAGATCGTAGAATGAATTCCAAGATCAATAAAAAAGAAAGTACAAGTTTCTGATAATTTCCTCCTGGACAATTAGAGTAAACACTACATTCTAGGGTGAGCTGTAGTAATAATAAATAACAAATCAAACAAGTTTGCTGGCGTTTCAGACAAGTCCAAGTATCTGCGGTGTATCACGTGGCATCTGCTGCACTGCTGTAATCAGGTACTCAGCTAGGTGTACATCTCGGGAACTTCCCGTTATCTGGACTGTTCTCTGATCACCGTCCACCTCGCTGTCTTTAGCTGAGAGAGTGAGAAGTTGGAATATTTCGTAGCTTTAATTGGCGATGATTCATTATAAAATAAACGCTTTAAGTTTCACGTTCTACTACAGAAGAGGAACTGATGAACTCGATCTTGCAAATCAGGCACATCGCCGAATTGTGAGCGCTTGGCAAGTTCAAGATTGTCACAGTTTACCTGTTTACTTATACACATAATGTGACGGTAATGTACTCATAGCACATAGGGTGCCGGGTAGCTGTTCGATCGTTATTGATCGCGAATAATCGATTCTTAATTAGCTTACGCTTTTTAATCGTAGTGGACCGATTTTAAACAATTTCTACAAAATTCAAAAAATCCACCACTGATAATGTCCCTTCGTTTGCCTTTTAGGAAATTGTCCGTCTGCAAACAGAAAATTAGAAAAATAAACTGCAACTAAACAGTGCACTTGACGTAAATTCAGTTGACTCACCGACATTGATCTTGCAATTGCTGAAGCTTCGGATTTCATTAATGATTGAGGCTTTTCTCCCTAAAACCATGCCCGCATTTTTGTTGGGAATCTTAATTTCTTTCGTAGTCCGTTCATCAGAACCCTGAAATGTTTTAGAAATTAGACCAGAAAACAATTTTATTGACAAATTGCTGTTCCTGAGAACTGTTGACGTTAAGCAACAAGTTAAGCGGAAGATCCAAGAGCGCAGGATGCGACTAGCAGGCCATATTCACCGGCACCCAGAAATAGTCGCAAACCGCTTGCTACTTTGGGAACCAACTCATGGGGTGCGGAGTAGAGGAAGACCAGCTATGACCTATGTTGATAGCCTACGAGCTGACACAGGTCTCAACGACACTGGAGAAATGGGCGGACTTATGGCGGATAGAGTTCTATGGAGACAGCTCATCAATACTCGTACGCTGAAGCCGCCTTAAGTCAGTCAGTCAGTCAAGTCAAAGCGGAGTGTCAAATTGCATACTACTATCAGTAGAATTTGGGCAAAAACTTGCACCACATGACCGGAAGACAAAGTTGAAAGTTCTGAAGATAATGATGCTTCCCAGCAGAGCTAGAAAAATAACAATTACGCGTTTGTAACCTTTGGCTTGCATTGGACATTTTTTGCTCCTCTATCCTAATTTTACATATCATTGAAAATATAAAGTGCATCATATTAATATGTTCAGATCAAAGAAGTTGAGTTTAAGAGTTAAACCTTCGCCAAAATGGTAATTTAAGATTGAATAAAAGATGGTCATCACTGGCAGATAGAGTTACTTATCTACTCTATAGATGTTTTTAGGGGGTAACCACTAACCGTTTTCGTTACCATTTTAGTGGTTACACAAATGGTTATATGACACTTCAAATGACATTGTTTCTATTGCAATACAGTATGACTCAACGGTGATTTGAGAGATTAAGAATTTGTATGATTAAATTATCATGCGAAACCTGCACTTTTGTAATTGGAGTATCGCTGAAGTCGTAAAATTTTACGGCAAACTAGAAGGTTCATCACAAAGCCGTTTTGTATTTCATTCGACGAATTTTGTAGTAACAACTTTCCTCTCTGCCTCAAATTTGTTCCGAGTTGATTTCGTAACCCCGTGACATTAAATTGTAGACGATATCAGACTAATATTAATGTCTGGCAAGAAACGATGGGTAAGTTTCTGTTTTGATCATATTTTAAACACAACAAAACAAATGTTAGTTTATTACTTCAAACGATGATCTTAAACCTTCCCATCGTCAAGGTCATGATGATTTCCTGTTTATTTATTTGTTGAATTGCATAGATTGAGCTCAGCTGATATAATGGTTGAGATGAGCCCGCTGCCAACGCTAAAAAGTTGGGGTATCCCACAATAAGGTATGAATCATTTCAGATTTTTTTTTCAGAAACGAGGAGTTGGTAAAGTTCAGTTGATAAAAAGTTTCCAATATGGCACGAACAAGAAAAGCATCAAAACACATCTTTTTGATACCGGAGTTTGCAGCTATAGAAGGGATACAAATATTTTTCAAATTATAATGCATCCAGAAAAGATAGACACACCAGCAAAACCTGCTCTTTTACTGGCTGCCCCGCCTGTACCTAATGCTCCGCCTGCACCTAAAGCACCACCTGCACCTAAAGCACCGCCAGCACCTAAAGCTCCGCCAGCCCCTGATACTCCACATGCACCCAAATCTCCTATACTTCAAATGGCTTCATATTTGAAATTTCCAGCTAAACCTCCAAGAATCAAAGATACCAAAAAACTGACAAAAATTCATTGGAAGGAGCTTACCAAGGACAGAAATGCCACATGCAAGATTAATCAAAGATTCAAGACATTTCCAGTAGGAGTAATGGAGGTTCATGAACAATTTTGGACATCATTGCCTCAAGTTGACATAAAGAAGCATGAGACTTTTCTTTCAGCGAGTTTTGCATCTGAACCCACCCGGAATGTCAGCAAGGAAACTGACATTCCTCCTCTTAAGAAGAATGATACCATCACAATTTTAAATTCCAATGACCAAACAGCTATAGGCATAATGACAAAAAAAATGGATGATACCACGCCAAAAAAGATACAAGAATGGATATCAAAATGCCCATTAACTAATTTTGTTAAGAAAATGGGAGACAAGCTCGAATTGCTTGTACAGATGGTAAAAATTGCAGAGAGTGACACGGAAGGAAGGAACTACATGCCACAGCTACTGGACAAAGAACTTGACTCATCTAAATTGAGTTCCGAGGAAGATAGGTATATGTATCAGCTACACCAGATACCTAATTTTACCACATACATGCAGATCGTCAGATTGTACCAAGAACTAGTGATTGAAAAGGAGGAAAAATATGTGACTTATCTCAAAAATGTGGCTACGGCATGTGCAGAAATAAGAAACTCAGATACTTTCAAAGAGCTTATGTCGTGCATCATGCAAGTGGGCATGTTCCTCAACTCACAGACAGATTTTCTAGGCTTTGACATCAGCCCAACATGTCTTAAATACATAATGGATTTCAGAGACAAAACTGAGAAATCTGCATCAATCGGACTACATTCTTTAAATCTACTCCAGCAGGAAAATCCGAGCAAAAACCATGCAAAATTTTTAAAGTTGGAGATGAAAACAGTATTTGAATTAGGTAAACCAAATACATTAAAAGCAAGTGATGTTCAAAATGATTTGATGAAGTGGAATAGACAAACAAAAAACATCACGGAAAACATAGGCACTATCGGTATCAACAGTCATTCGGTCATCTCAACGAAAATTCTTAAAAATGCCATTGGTGTCATCGCTAAGACACTGTCAACCATTCAGGAGACAAGCGAAAAAGTTGCCAATGTTTTCTTTGAGACTATGATCTATATGGGGCTTAACCCAGTCAAATATGAAATTGAAAAACCCGAAAAACCAAAGTCGCCATCGAGTGACCTCTTTTCGCCAATCAGTGATTTTGTTGAGCACGTTTTAAAGGAGAAAGAAAAACAGGCGAAGGAGCAGAAGAAGAAAGCGGTAATTGAGAGAAAACTGAAAACTAAACAGAAAATTGTAAAAATAAAGGTTGGTCAAAAGGAAATCAAATCCTTTTTCAAAAGCAGAAAGAGCACTGTCAGGCTGCAACCGAAAAAAAACACTTGGAGTTTTAGATGAGGTCGTTTCCTTCAACAAGTTCAATTTACGTCATAGAGGAGAAACAGGAGATGTAGAAACAGATGGAGGATTAAGTGACTCCCAGGAGAGTAGAAGGAGATACGTGAGGAGAGTCAAGATGATCAAAAAGACAATGCAGTTCACATACTTTAGGGAAACTGGGTGGGTTAGAATAACAAGGCAATTCTCGTATTACAGAATCCTATTTGGATCAAAGGACTTCCAAGAAGTTAAAGGACTCTAGAGAAATGAAACATCAATACGCGATGATGTAAATAATTGTCACACACCCAACCAATAACCATGGGCACAGAGATGAAATTATTTTATGTACAATTATTTTTATGTAATCTTTATATTTTGATTGAGTGAACGATGTGAATTATCATTAATTATCAAATTCTGTTTTTGACACTGCACTATTACCTTTTCTATTTCGTTTGTTGTTGTTATGATTATGTGAGTGATTAATTTAACCTTTTCTTGTTGTCAAAACTTGGTTATTTTCATTTCCCAAAAAAGTTAATATCAAATTGTACGGGTATATGCCTCACAGAATGGCTAGCCTCACAGAATGGCCAAATTTGTAAATGTTTTTGTAACTAATTTTTTATATAAGACTGGTAGGTTTTGTGGATACCATATGAAACAAAAGTCTTCTGGCAACACTTCCTGTGGTGAAATCATTAACTAGGACCACATTTTCTGGCATAAATATGACTGTTTTTGTAGAAATTTTGAGCACTGAAATTTTTTTTTCAAATTTTTGAACTAAGTTTGCATTTTGGTGAGAACTTCTGGCACCAGTATGACAGAAGATGTTTAAAGAATAGTATTCGTCAAACAAAACGAACATTGTTCAATATAAGAAGAAAAAATGCTAAAATGGCTAAACGCCTCACAAAATGGCCAAAATATGCCTCACAAAATGGCCAAAATTTAAAACTCCTTTTATTTAATGAAACAATAAGTCTAAAGTATTCACAAGCTATTTATCATACAATAACACCCCAGATGGAGTGTTTTTACAGCGAATGAAGGTTATAAATCATGAAATCAGGGAATATGAACAACGCCACACAAAATGGCCATTTTTGGTGTAGGAAATCATGCCCTTTTTATTCAGTTCTAAGAAATTTCACCTATATGGGGGTGTTAACAAGGCATATTTATACCAGCAGCATGCCTGAAACAAGAGCCAAAGGTTTTAGAAAAATAAAATTTTCTCGTTTTCATTTTTTTTGGGCCATTTTGTGAGGCATTTTTTCTTTTTTGTGAAATAATTTTTCACAGCTCAGTTTTTTCGTGAGTTTTAGGTTATTACCCCATTCCTTAATAGGTTTTCTAACAACGTGTGGTGATAGAAATTTAAAAAGTACCTCCATCAAAAAATTATAGAAATTCAGATTTTGCCATTCTGTGAGGCATGTTTTTTTGGAGGAAGATTTTCCGGCCAAATTTTCTCAAAGAAAAAATGGTTATGAGATTAAATCAACCCCCGGGAAGAAATATATGAGTGTCAACTTAGCTTCTTATGAGATAAAAACTGGAATAAAGTGTGTTTTGTGATTTTGAGAGACCTTCCTTTTTTTGGCCATTCTGTGAGGCATATACCCGTAGTGAATTTAGCAATTTTCTAAATTTACTAAATATAAATCATAGCTTTAGCCTAACATTGTTTGTTTTCCTTCGTGTCCAAATACAATATAGATATAGCTATTATCAAGAACTTACATCGGTGCTAGTCTCAAATGGGATGAGGTTTTGAGCCATTTCAAATAGTTTGTTACTATTGGGTAGCGGTTGAGGGGCTGACTGCTCTTGTGGTTCCCTCTGTCCACTACTTCGCCTCACTTCTTCATCTGCATCCTAGGGTACACATAATTTAACGTTCGTTTTCTAAAGCAGGGTACAACTCCAATTAATGGAACTCCTATGAATCAAAAGAATAAAGCAGAAACTTAATCCAAAGATCATTTTTGTCAAATTAGAAGAAATAAGTAAACATTTTGTGACCATGCACCAGAGGACGTAATAAAATTTACATACCAAAATTAGACCCTTGACAGCGTTGAAGGCCCACATAACTTCTTTCATAGTTCCAGAAATTGTAATTTTTCTAGTTCCATCCACAACGCTGTTGTCATCGGCTGAAAACACATAAATTATTCATTGATTCATACACAATTCCAGAGCAGTTTCAAAATGGAAGTTCGGCTATCCTCAAAAACTTAGATTGCCTTAAAAAGTGGGTTTGCTAATTCATTCTAGTACCTATTTTGATGATAGCAGAGGTCTTCTTCCTAACAGAGCTTATTCTTGATCCTCGAGGTCCAATGATAGATGATGTCAGACTGTCATCAACCTGGATGTCTTTACTAATTTCTTCGTTCATAAAGTCGTCCACTATCATCCTGAATTTTAAAACTTGAATACAAAGTACAAACGTCAAGCAATTCAACCTGATCAACTTGGATAAAAAGTATTTGGTCAATACTATTAATTCAAATGAACTTGTATGACTAAGCTGTTTTGAAGCATTAATATCGACCCAAATAGGATCAAACAACAGCGAGTCTAACCAATCGAGTAAAGCAAATCATGAAATCAAGGTCACATTAATCCCTCAAAGCCTCAACTTGACTCCATCATATAATGCTAGGTAGAAGAACAGCAGTGATATTCTAACCTGGGTGGAGGGGATCTGTCTGCCCTCCTCTCATCCTGTCTGAAGCCAACAGAACGAGGAGGAGACCTTGCACGTGGTGGTGTATGGCTGCGCGGCGGAGAACGTGTTCGAGGTGGGGAACTGTGTCTAGGAGGAGAGGTGGGGAGGGGCATGCGTCTGTAGTTCTCCATCTGGGGGAGGGAGCTGTAGCTAGCTGACTGGTCGAGGGTGGGGAGGGTAGGGAGAGGGTTGTGGGTGTACTGACCCATATCACTCATCATCTGATAAAAGGGATAGTTTAGTCACCTTACTTAATAAATTAACAAAAGTTAAGAGTATCAACTTTAATGTTCAAGGTAATATTCATTGTTGCATTGTACATGTTGCAAAACTCGCCTGTTTAGCACCAGCATATGTCTGAGCAGCGAAGGGATTGGGAGTGTTGTAACTGTTATCAAATCCAGTATCAGTGCTTTGTCTAGTGAATGCCGTTATGTCAGTCGAACTACTGTAGTTGTAGCTCATGCTACGGTCCATATCTGCTGCGGAAATTGAATCTACGTCATTATCATTCATTATTATTATTATTATAATAATGAATTTAAGTCATCACAGGACTAGACCAATATTGATATTTTATCACAAGATTTGACTAGTTTATTATATTAAACTCGTTAATTGTCGGTTGAAAACAGACAAAAACCCAAGAACAATTCCACTTTACTACACAAGTTACCGTTTCGGTGTCCAGTAAGCTGTCCATCAGGTCTAACGGTGAGAGCTAGTTTGCCAGGGTCACCCCCCTTCTCCAAGAAGCCCTTCATGTAACCACCACACTGCACACTGTAGTCCTCATCTTTACACACGTACGGAGTGTATCTGATGTAGTCGTGTAGAAGAGGTTTCTCTTGTAGAATAGTCAGAACAGCTACCAGGGTCTCTATCATTGCGTCTATCTGGAAGAGACACATTGTTTAAGATTACAACCAACCAGGTTATAGAGGCGGGGAAACTGACTAATTCTGGCCACCAAAGCTAAAGAGTTTTTTAATCCATTAAATCTGAGAGCATTGAACTTTCAAGTTGGCAATTTGATTCAGTGATCAGAAAATCAGAAATAATTTCAACTAAATGTTATTATTAACACCCAAAAACAAACACATACTCTGAGTTATGAACACTGTGAGATAACAAGTTACCTGATTGTCTCTCCCTGGGATCTCCAGCACTCTCTCGTCGCTGTAGGGTAGCTTATCTTTGTGCATCTTTACTTTACACCCATACTTTTCTCGGAGGTCCTTCAGAGTTGAGCCTCCTTTTCCCAGAACAGCTCCAGCTATATCAGACGGTACGAGGAGGTTGAACTCGCGCTGAGGCCGTCCTTCTAGTGCCTGTTAGTGGTATGGAAATTAGTATATGAAATCTAGTCAGTATATATATACTGACAGTTACCATTAAAAAATATATATATATATTTTAATGGTGACTGTCAATGTAGTACAGTCAAATACGTCCTAATTTAAGCCTTTGTCGGACAAAATTCGCAACAAAGCGATTTTAACGGGAAATGGTCGGAACAGGTCCCAGGAATCATTCCAGAGAATTCCCAAAATTTCTGACTTGAGCAAAATCCACAATTACCACTTGTTTACCACCTTTTTACCACTTTGGTTTTCCGCGAATAAGTCACGTTCTGAATATCCTAGAAGATTCTAGTTGAAAGCAGTGTGTTTAGAAAACAAAGAAGAACAACTTTTTCTTTAACAACTTTTTCAAAAATAAATTATTTAATTAATTAATTAAATAATTAATTAATTTTCAAATATTTCAAAAATATATTTTGATAAAAAATGTTCACAATTACATTACACGTATAAGGAACTAATTTTTATAAAACTTTTTTAAATTTTCACTTCCAATATTTTGGACTTTTCGAAATTTGTAAAGAATAACCACTATTTACCACTTTTTACCACATTGAATCTCCGCTAATAAAACGACTTCTGAATGTCGTAGAAGGTTCTAGATTGAACCAATGTGTTCAAAACATAAAAGAGAACAACTTTTTATCCGACAACCTTTGGATTAGATAATTAATTAATTCGTTAATAAATTTTTTAACAAATATTCAACAATCATACAAATTATTTTCGATCAAAATATTTTAAAATTACATAACACGAATAATTAACAACTCTTCATTAAATTAATCGAGAAATCGAAGCAGTACTTTATATAACCATTATATATACTAGATACGAGTCTTACTTATGAGTCCTCAGCTGGCACATTGGTGCAATTGTTCTGACATTTGAGGCAGGTTGATCCACAATGTATTCCTGCTTTTCTGCATAAACAAGCATTGCCACAACCTGCCTTTAAACAGTTGCAACTGATGTTTTGAATGAGCTTTTTCGGAGCTGTACTCATAAGAGTGGTCACTGGTACATGGCCCCATTGTTCATCTTCCATCCCCAGCTTATCGGATCTAGGTCGTTCTCATCCCACGCCTGCAGCTGATGGTAAACACTATAAGAATGCTGTTCAGCTGCCCCAGATGTTGGCGGGAGCTGTTTGCACTTGATGTCTGCTGTTGAAGATTGCGACTTCTGTTCAAGAACTGAAAGTCTAGCTTCATCTAGTGATCTCGATTTTGATGAAATCAGCTGCAGCATCAAAAGTTCTTCGACATGCTTTATGGTAGCTGGTGTAGAATTTGCCGAATAAAAAACATCTATTACACTTTCATCGATAGATGCGATCGTTCTGAATAGCCGATCCTTACCAACTCCGTGGATCCGACTGGTGGTGTCTGATCCAGTGAAAGCGTGACACAGCAGTATCGTGTTTACGTGCCTTCAAGTTTAGGGGGAGTGGGGGTGCCATGAGTCAATACACATACGTTGAGTCTTATAATAAACATGTACTCGTGTTTGCGAACATGCTGTAAACTGCAACATAACATATTGCAATAGGCCATTACATTCGGAATATGATCTGATAAGATGGCACGAAACGGATTGAAAATGACGAAGTCATCAAGCAATTTGTTTATCTCGTTAGAGAAATTGATTGGGTTATCAATGATTACCTAATCGTTAATCACGTGACAGGGTGCTAGGATACTGTAATTTGGCTTTCTGCACGATTTCTGTGCCACGCTTTCACTGGATCAGACACCACCAGTCGGATCCACAGAGTTGGTAAGGATCGGCTATTCAGAACGATCGCATCTATCGATGAAAGTGTAATAGATGTTTTTTATTCGGCAAATTCTACACCAGCTACCATAAAGCATGTCGAAGAACTTTTGATGCTGCAGCTGATTTCATCAAAATCGAGATCACTAGATGAAGCTAGACTTTCAGTTCTTGAACAGAAGTCGCAATCTTCAACAGCAGACATCAAGTACAAACAGCTCCCGCCAACATCTGGGGCAGCTGAACAGCATTCTTATAGTGTTTACCATCAGCTGCAGGCGTGGGATGAGAACGACCTAGATCCGATAAGCTGGGGATGGAAGATGAACAATGGGGCCATGTACCAGTGACCACTCTTATGAGTACAGCTCCGAAAAAGCTCATTCAAAACATCAGTTGCAACTGTTTAAAGGCAGGTTGTGGCAATGCTTGTTCATACAGAAAAGCAGGAATACATTGTGGATCAACCTGCCTCAAATGTCAGAACAATTGCACCAATGTGCCAGCTGAGGACTCATAAGTAAGACTCTTATCTGGTATATATAATGGTTATATAAAGTACTGCTTCGATTTCTCGATTAATTTAATGAAGAGTTGTTAATTATTCGTGTTATGTAATTTTAAAATATTTTGATCGAAAATAATTTGTATGATTGTTGAATATTTGTTAAAAAATTTATTAACGAATTAATTAATTATCTAATCCAAAGGTTGTCGGATAAAAAGTTGTTCTCTTTTATGTTTTGAACACATTGGTTCAATCTAGAACCTTCTACGACATTCAGAAGTCGTTTTATTAGCGGAGATTCAATGTGGTAAAAAGTGGTAAATAGTGGTTATTCTTTACAAATTTCGAAAAGTCCAAAATATTGGAAGTGAAAATTTAAAAAAGTTTTATAAAAATTAGTTCCTTATACGTGTAATGTAATTGTGAACATTTTTTATCAAAATATATTTTTGAAATATTTGAAAATTAATTAATTATTTAATTAATTAATTAAATAATTTATTTTTGAAAAAGTTGTTGAAGAAAAAGTTGTTCTTCTTTGTTTTCTAAACACACTGCTTTCAACTAGAATCTTCTAGGATATTCAGAACGTGACTTATTCGCGGAAAACCAAAGTGGTAAAAAGGTGGTAAACAAGTGGTAATTGTGGATTTTGCTCAAGTCAGAAATTTTGGGAATTCTCTGGAATGATTCCTGGGACCTGTTTCGACCATTTCCCGTTAAAATCGCTTTGTTGCGAATTTTGTCCGACAAAAAGACGTATTTGACTGTACTAATGTTCTTGAAATCATTATCATTTTAGACATTTGAACTATTTTGGAGGACATCTGCTACGACTTGCAAAGACAATCAGGAGATTTGAAGATCTCCTGAAAGTGAAGAAGTATGTAGTTAGACTTACATGCCACAAGGAAGGAGCAAGTTTTTCCAGTAATCGCGGCACATCAGTTAGTTCACACGAGACCATCAGAATCCTGAGCAGGATATTAATTAGTAACTATTAGTAACTATTAGTAACTATTAGTGACTATTAGTAACTATTAGTAACTATTAGTAACTATTAGTAACTATTAGGTATATGTATCTACCTAGAGAGCTCTATTAACACTATAAAATACTGCAATTTGAAAGATCTCACATTTTTGATATTATAAGCTTTTCAAGTGATTTTTTAAAAATGTTATATTTTTAATTCTATTTAAATGTAGAGTTTACCTATCTTTATTGTGGATTGATGAAGGAAATTCTGGAACTCGGAGATGGGCCTTAGAGAAGAAACGTGATCATAAATAACAGAGGACTCGGGAACAGGAAGGAAAATAAGAGTGGGAGAAAACAATAATATAAATGATGTAAGTCGATGTAAAATTTGGTAAGCTTGAAATAACGTTTTGGTAATCTTGGTAAACTTTTTCATGATTATCTCTTCATAAGTACAACAGACAGGTAGAACTACTGTAGGTTATCATTATAAACTAACCTTGGCAGAAATATCCTGTCTTGCGTGCTTCAAATTCTCCCCATTCCTTCCGATAACTCTACCAACGGACTGGAGATGATACTTGGTATCAGTTATTAACCCGGTGAATAATACAGGGAGATAATAAACTTTGCACTTTCATATCACAAAACTATTGATGAATTATAGGAAAATTTCATAAGTTATGCCTTACATCTTGATGGAAGAGAAGTCTGAATCGTATGTCATTATACCGCTTCCTTTTGACGCTTCCTGTTTCACCAGATCCACCAGATACTGCCTCAATCCCTCTTTTCTCTGTCTCGTTAGACATTTCTATATACTAGTGATTAGTCTGTTTAATAAAACAAGTTCTATTTTCAATAACTCTATAAAATAATACTCCTTTATAATAATAACTATTTGTGGAATATAGAATGGTGATCATGCAGTCTCCTGGTGTTTACAATTTATTTTATTAACATTTCTGTACACAATGAAATTCCGATAGGACCTTTTTTGAATCATTGTTAAACCGTATTTAGAATCGTGATTTATGATCTAGTTTTATCTGGTTTAGCACCTAAGTCACCACACTCAAAAAATATTCAGTCTAAAAAAACAAATATAACATGATGTAATAAATGCAAAACATTCTAAATAAATTAATTAAAACCTATACAGCCCACAAGCGTCGCGTCGGGATGTTAATCAGTATTTGAGCCTAAAACCACATCGAAAAGTTAAAGATCCTACTGAATAAAACCCATTATACTTGGAACAGTTAAAACATTTTATAACTGCTAAACTCTTTTAAGTTAGAAACAATAAGGATGGATTATAATACGGCGATAAAGTCATAATAAGTTTGGAAATTGAAATTATTTTTACATCTTCATGAGTCCAAAATTTTTGGTCACGAAAAGGGTGAAAAGAACGGAATTCTAACAACTTGAAAATTTGGCCGAAAATAGATTCATGCTGTACTACCACAATATTTCACTTTACTAGAGGTACATATATAAATGCAGATTATTTTTCGATCGAAAAATTAGTCCCATATAAAATAATTACACCCTAGACTCTTAAAGTACAGTCAAAAAATTGAAAAAGAACCCATGATGATGATAGTCCTAATCGCTGTCAGAATCTGAGTCCACCGCCATGTCTTCTAGTTCCGGCATTGGGAACCTTAACAGTGCAGCTACTCCACTTAATAAAGCTAACTGAAAATAATCGGGGTTAATTAATGTGATAATGCGGATTAAATTTGTATTATCACTCAATTAAAAATATTAATTGAAAACGTACATTTTATTTAGATTTCTATTCTTAGTTGCCCCGTGTATTTGTTGAGTGCCACTCACCTTTTCTCCAGATGTATGTAACGAACTGAATATGTGAACGGTGCCACCATATCCTTTCACATCTTCAACTAGTTTAACATACTTTTTCCTCTCGGCTAAATCTGAAGACCTAAACAAACTATCTGCAAAAGAATTATATTGAGTTTGCATTGATTAATCATCAACAAAAACGCAGACCAGAAATAGCAAAATTCACTGACTGATTAACCATAAAATTGCAATAAAGGAAATGATTATCACCAAATATAAAAGATTTAGTAACCACACCTGTAACCATAAGAGCATCTATTGCCTCCTGTGCACTTGCTGCTATACACTGTGCTGGACCGTAAAAGGCTCTTGCGGGCTCGTTTTTTAGCATGGTGTAAAAATCACCGAGAGCTTTGACTTCACCAGCTGCTTTTGTATCAGTGAGTCTTGATGTAATGTTGGGATCTGAGAGAATCTCGGAGACTGCGTGTTTGTGGCCAGAGGAGGAGTGACAAAACACAAATATACTTTTATTCTCCTGGAGTGGCTTAAACTCTGATCTTTCCGTTGACAATATATATTCCATTAACTTCTCCTGGAAAATAGAAATTTTTTTAACGCTGGAGTCACATTAGGGTAGAATTTGCGAAACAGTCATGAAATCTTACCCTGACAATAATATTATATTATATAGAAAATTTATGTTGCTGATTATAATCTTGATTATTATTATTAATATACAATCACCATACTTTTATACTTGCCAGAAGACTAACCTTTACGAATCCAGGACTGGCTACTAGAATACATTTAACTATCGAGAAGTCCAGATGGCGCACCATTGAATTTCCAACTGTGTCAAAGAATCTAAGCATGGCCTGAAAATTACAAAAATGTGAAACACAATCCTTAATTCTTATAAACCGTCCTTAAAAAATAAATCCAAGACTACATTAATTGAGTGTAGAAAGTGGTACTGCTCAATAGAGTCTAAAGTTTGATCTAGCAACAGAGATTTACCTTATCGTGGTTAGTACAACTCCCCCTCCTCTTACGAGGTATTGGAAGTTCAATTTTAGCTTTAGTTATAGTCATAGATTGTCTGACCAGACATACATGTGCTAATCCTTCCTGTAACACCACAGCTGCTAGGTCTGCTGTTTTCCCTGAAATTTACAATTTCTATGTTGCCCCCACTTGCTTATTGGAAACAGCTCAAGTAGAACAAAATTGTTTCATAAAAATCGACAATTTCGAAACGGACAAAATTGTAGAAAGAAAACATGACAGTCAGACAAACGACAGAAGTTTTTTTCGGAAAAGAATCATACTGAATATACAACTTCAACAGCAATTAACACAACGAAATTATCTAAAGATACCTGAATCACATGCTTCATCTACTCGCTCCAATGCTATAGCATCCCAGTATTCTTTTGTCAGTGTAAATTTCCTCTGTAGTTCCAAGTCAAGTGTGTGGTATGCTCCAAGTTTTACATATTGGTTTTCCTCTATATTTCGGCCCTGGACAAGGCAAAGATATCTAAATAACTAAATAATCTTCACACGACTATGATCATGTTACATTTTCAAACGTGTACCAGATAATATCTTAAGGATTCCTGCCACCTAAATCGTAAGCATTTAACTGAAAAACGTATTACCTTGAGGGCAAGAGACATTGCTTCAACATCGTAAGAAATGTTTTCAACTCGAATGGTAAGATTGGTTTTAATCTTTCTAGCATTTGTAGAACCTGAAACACAGGATATATTGGCTATTGCTAAATGAATTTCCATAATTATCACAATCCAACCTATTATGTTTGAATCAAAGAACACAATCAGATAAGACGGCCCCAACGTTAATCTGGCTCTTGCTATGTGTTGGTTCAGCCAAACTAATTATTATTTATTCAAGTTTATTTTTCTAGTTTAGTTAGTTGTCATCCGGCCACACAGCATCCAACTTATATTGCAGTATAAATAATAATAATAATAAATACAACATTTATAAACCGCCTTATAGCTAAATCATATAACTCGATATAATTTAATCCTGGAGATAAACTCCAGTGCTTTCTAAAGCGGCTCTTACATTAACTGAGCTTAGTTTAATTGAAAATTAGACATGACAAGTTCATTTTACCTATGTAAATGCAAAATCAATCAAATGCTAGAGAAAAGAAGTATGTTTTAAGTTTGGTCTTGAAAGATGTAACTGACTCAGCTGATCTTATGTCGTATGGCAAGGTATTAAATACTTTAACTGCACAGTGACTAAAAGCTTTCTCTGTGTTTACATAGTTAGGAGAGGGCGGAAAACTAAGGTAAAAATAATCATTATCAAGACGTACATTTTTAAAACTTTGCTGCCTAGGAGATATCAACTCTTTTAAGTAAGGAGGAGCTATATTATTTAAACACTTGTAGGCAAGTAGGGCAATCTTGAAATCTATTCTAAATCTAACTGGTAGAAAATGAACTTTCTTAAGTAGTGGAGTAGTGTGTGCCTTTCTTCCTCTCCCGAAAATAAATCTTACAGCAGAATTTTGCACCTTCTGTAAACGACTTAAATCATAAGAGCTCAGTCCAAAATATACACTATTGCAATAATCAATTCTAGAGAGTACTAGAGCATGAACAAGCTGAATCTTAAGGTTAAAAGACAGTTTTGATGCAATAAACCACAAATTTCTGATCTGAATATTACATGCTTGAACCACTGACGTGATCTGATCACTCATTGAAAGATAACTGTCCAAATACAGCCCAAGACTCTTCACAGTTCCACTAACAACATGTGGCTCTTGATCCTTAACAATCTGTAGAGAGGCTGGAATATTTGTTGAGTCAAATTTAGAGGATATAACGATGACTTCAGTCTTAGAAGAATTCAGTTGAAGGAAATTGTTTGTCATCCATTTCTTGATATCAGACATACAGTGTTCCATATTGTGCTCTAGCTGTGATGGGTCATCAGAATCAAGAGTGAAATACAGCTGGGTGTCATCAGCATACAAATGAATACAGCATCCATGCATACTTGCAATGTTCTCAAGATCTTTGGTGTACAATATGAATAGCAGGGGGCCAAGGATTGAACCTTGTGGCACACCTATCTCAAGAACAGTTGCTGAGGAAGACGAATCCTTGACTTTGACACAAAATGAACGGTTAGCCAAGTAGGACCTGATCCATGTAAGAGCAATGCCTGTAATGCCATAAGCAGATCTTAGCTTCTTGATTTATCTTGGGTGATTGACAGTATCAAAGGCAGCACTCAAATCTAGAAGTAAAAGAACAACTTTAGTTTTCTTGTCAATAGTTATCAAGATGTCGTTATGGATTCTGGTTGTTGCAGTTTCACAGCTATGAAACTTCCTATAGCCGGACTGAACTTTAGAAAGCAAGTTGTTATCCTCAAGATAACTGGTGAGCTGTATAGATACACACTTCTCAATGATTTTTGACAAGAATGAGAGATTGCTAATAGGCCTATAGTTAGATAGAGATTCACCGTCAAGGCCACGTTTCTTCAAACTTGGACGAATGAGAGCCTCCTTAAGTTTTATAGGAAACTCACCTTTAACTAATGATTCATTGACTATAAATGAGATCAGAGGAAGGAGTTCTGGGAGACACTTGATGAGAATTTTTGTAGGTATGGGGTCAAGATCACAGAATTTGTTAGACATATTCTTTATGATGCTTACTAGTTCTTCATCAGACACATGACGGAATTGTACTATCTTTGGGCTATTAGAAAGAGGAACAAATTCATCTGAGTTAGGAGAATCTTGGGATTGTTGTTCTAAATAAATGTTGTTGTATATGTTGTCGACCTTTGATTTAAAGAACTGTGCAAAGTTGTTAGCACTCTCAAGATTCGAAGAGCAAGAAGGTGTAGTAGTACTAACTTTTTCTTTATTGAGCAACTTATTAACGATGGAATAAGTCTTTTTAGCATCACCTGCACTGTCTTGTAACCTTGTTTTGTAGAAGTGATCTCTTGTGGATACAATGACTGAGGATGCTCTCTCTGATGCTTTCCTGTACAGTCGTTTATAATCTGGGCAATCATGATTCTTTTGATACAGTCTCTCAATCTTTCTTCTCATTGCTTTTGCTTGTTGACAGTGTGTAGACCACCATTCAGCGTTATGATCTTTTCTTGGGATGAAAGTTTTTTCTTTAGCATGCTTGTCCAAAATACTGCTCAACTCAGACTCATAGATATCAACTGCACTATCGAGGTCATTGAAGCAATCAGTGTCACATAGTTTTGACTTAAGAATGTCCTCAACAAAAGCATCTAGGTCTATGCAAGCAATGTTTCTGTAAGTAATTGGTTCTAGAGTGCCTATGGGTGCTGGAGATACATTGCAATTGAAAGCAACAAAGTAGTGGTCAGACGATGTGCCAGAATCAGTAATGACAGGATCTAGAACTTCAATGCAATCGTGAGTAAAAGAACCATCCCTGGTAATTACAAGATCTAATATGCCCCCATCTCTGTGTGTTGCAGCTGAAATTTGTTGCACCCACCCACAAGACCTAAGTAGTGAATTAAACCTTTGTGCAACTGAATCATTTTCGTCTTCAATGTGGATATTAAAATCACCCATGATCAAGGGCTTTCCAGGTTTGTCTACTAAATCAACCAAGAGTTGCTCAAAGTCAGTTAGAAATTGGGGGATGTTAGCACTCTGAGATGTGGAGTACCATTTTTCCATAAGTAATAATATATCAAAATAATATCATTGTAATTTTGCATGCCTGAAATGAAACACTTGATTTATGTATATTATAATAATTAATTGAATTTTCAAATTAAAAAAGAAGTAAGTGAACCCATTGATTACTCGGATTAGTTAGAGTCATCAATCATCATAATGAGACATTATACCTGTTGCACTCTCAGTGACTACTTTTCTCAGAGTAGTGCACCGCACCACATCTCCAGCTGCTATAAGATTGTACACGTGCCACAGATCTTCCCCTTCCTCAGGGATGAAGGTCATGCGACCATTTCTGTTTTTGTAATCAATGTACTTATGTAATAACTTCATGAGTTGAACTCCACATGTATAGCTATAGAAGTTCTTGTTAGATTTAATAACAACAAATTACATTAAAATTAAAACTGATGTAACGTTATGATTCATCCAAATTCTGAATTTTGATCAAAAGAATACTTTTATTGGTAAAATGCTATTTGTATGTTTTCTTATCGTCTATACATTATATTACTGTGATCTAAAGAATATATACGCAGAGATTGAGGATACAATACAAATGCATAGAATTGCTTGGGGCCAATGAATCCAAATTGTAACAATCTTCCATAACATAACCATGAAATTATTGAACACTTATGACAAATATGATGAATTTCAAAACAAATAGAAAATTCTCCATTACTATTCAGACTGGTGAACTACTTACAGACAGATATATCCAGAAAAAAGGAATCAAAAGCTATTTTTTGTAAAAGTATTATATAAACAAACAAAATATATATCATTCACTATTACTCAAGTGTAATTAAGGAGTTTTCTAACACTGGTTCCAACTGACTGGTTAACAGGCGCATCTATCAACCAGTGCTTAATTCTGAATAGGTAAGGGTGAATGTCTTGGTATCTTGTGTGATACACATTCCCAATATCATTGGCAATATCAGGTGTCTTGGGAACATAGTCTGACTTGTTTATCATTTGAGTAACATAGAAGATTTTCTCTGCAAGCTCTGATCCAATGACTTCTTGACGACGTTGCTGCTCAGCTGTGCTAGTTGCAGACACCAATTCAACCTTTATTTCCCACCTTTCCCATGTGAAGAATTCAGCTGCAAAGGGCCAACGAGCTTTCTTCTTTTCGTAAAATTCCAATGCAATGGTACCATTTCTCGTCAGACCTGCATTAACTGAACCACGGAGTTCACTATGAAATTGAGATACCTGCTTTTCAATGTCATTTGCAAGCTCAGAGGAATTAACTGAACAATATGTGAAGTCAATTCTGCTACAATCATTATCTCTGAAACCAAGAGAACCAATCGAATAGGTGCTTTCCTTTTTGTAGGAGATTTTCCCAAATGTTCTATGTAACAATATTGTGTGAAATAAACTTGAAACAACTTCTTTCACATGTTGACTTTCTAATGTAAAGTCTAACGTATAGCAACGGACATTCATCTCACATGAGTCTTTTCAGGTATTGAGATGATTCATTCCTCTGCTCAATTGTGCAAATTAATATCACATTCAATTTACATCCCTGAGAAATGAAGACATGCATTAAAAACTAATATTGATATTGATATGTAATACCTTGGTGCCATTTTTGGGCTACCCCAAAAAAGGCACCAAGTGATTGTTGTTGATAACTTACAGTTGCTGTAGGGTTTGCATGCAATTCATTCACTAGCTGGCTGCTAGCCTACGCCTTGGTTTTAATGTCTTTCTCTACATTAAACATTATTTAAAAACATAACTTATTACTGATACTTGTGATCACTTGTAACAATTCAGTAAAATACTTATATGTGAGTACAGTTAAGTCCTGTTTGACTGTACAGTTTGAGGATAGAAAACAGTAAAACTTTAGAGTGGGATGTGTGGTAAATTCCGTTTTTGGTTCATGATTCTCAATCGGATCACATGGTTTCTCTTTGCACAGTAATGATTCCTAATCAAACAGTTAACAAGCACCAGATTAGAGGATATACGAGGAAAGTTAAGTAAAACAAAATTATACTTCTCCAAATTGTTTACTTGTATATAATTGTACATAATCCGGACGAAATGTCAAAGTGGGTATCTATGTAATTTTCATAATGATTTAATGGTTACCTTCATACCCACAGGCCACAGTTGAATGTTTCAACCCACCATACCATTATACCATACTTTATACTCATTAACTTATTATCTATCATGTACTATATAATGTTTTGAATCTTGGTCCTTAGAAGGGCACTCTATTATCTGCACAGCAGATCGAAGCATAATTTACTATATTTATTGTATTGCTGTGTAAATTTGATTTTAATTCTAATTATAATTCCAATAGACACCAAGGTCTAGTTTCTAAGCCATATTATAAGGGCTCAAACTGATTTATTGTTTACATCATAATCAGTTTAAAAAATAAGAATCCCAATTGGCACTCTTGCAGTGGCATAATGTAAGAGTGCCATCTTCATTTGAATTTTTTTTAAATGAAATTGAGATTCAAACAATATACACATAATATAGCAATGGCCCTATATGAAAATTCTATAAAAATGTAAAATTGTAATAATATATAAAATCCACAAATTCACATCACAACAAAAAGCAGTTTAGACCCTCATCCAAAAAGCACTCCTTGACCTTTTAGGGTTTAGGAGTGTTGATCAGGTTAAGGTCCAAATCACTTATCGCTGTGGGTGGAAGAGTTGAACCTGTATAATCTCTACCTCGTACCCGCTGATAGATATTATACAGGTTCTGAGTAGATCAAAACGCAGTCTGCGTCTGACAAATGACATCACATCACAATACTGTTGGCCATTCTTAAGGCTGATCTTTTCAGCGAAATGTTTTAGGAACTGTGAAACCTCAGACGCCATTCCTCCTGTAGTACTGAACACCAGTGGCGTGAAGGTAGCCTTTTCTACATTGAGGACTCTGTCATTGTACTCACGTTTTTTGTTTTTCTCGTGAGATTGGTACATCTGCGAGATGCCCTTGTCACTGTTGGACTGGGCTTGAGGGTGAAGTACCCTTACATCTGTGAATGCCCTGTCCAGCGGGGCTTCATTTGAATGTGCCAAATCGTCATTTGAACGTGGGATAATTAGGAAAAATTAACTGCAGTACTAGCAAAACTGCACGTTTTGCTCTAGAAACACACTTATTAAAAGATTGTACCAGTGTATCCTCTATACTAAAACAATCTATTTTGTACAATTTTTCGTTTCTATTTTAAGAGGGGGAGGGGCGCCAACAGGGTTAACTAGCTTGCTACTTGCTAGTCTATTGCTCAATCTTCTCTCTTCCTGTTCAGGAAGCTTGAAAAGAGCGCCGCGCAAAGGGACTGGCGTGCCAGGTAGCAGGGCACAGGAGAAGCAAAGTACAAAGACACTGCCACAAACTGCTACTAACTGCTACCAACTGCTTCAAACTGCTACTAACTGCCACTAACTGCTACAAACTGGCACTAACTGCCACAAACTGCTACTAACTGCTGCAATCGCGCCCACGCATTCGCCCGCCGTTTGCAGCAGTTTGTAGCAGTTTGTAGCAGTCAGTAGGGCCTGTCGTGATATCATGGATCGCTTAGGTTCCACCAGGATCTGGTAGTCCTCATAATTCTGCGGCCTCTATGTGTCATCTCGCACAACTCCGAAAAACCGTTGTGAGTTTGGCATGTGATAGCCTCCTATATATAGCCTCCAAATTGTGGAATAGCATACATAAACGGATTCTAAATGAGAATGGGGAAATCCTCACTACTTCTGTAGCTTTGGTTAAATTACGCTGTAAAAGTATCATCCTGGGATCTCAATCCATCAACAATAATAACACCTGGACTTACCACAACTTTCACATTGCCCCTCACTCAATCACAGACCAAACCATTTCATCACTCACTCACCAAATTGCCGACCCAATATCTATTGAAGTGGCGAAAATTTTCTAGACAAATGATATTTCGATATTATTGCTGCAGCAGATACAAATACCAACATTATTATATTCCCAAACGTTTGAACCTTTAAATTAACTAGGAAAGTCAATCCTCAACTTGACTTTTACTGTTTCAAACAGATATGATGATATTAACTTAATTTATTATTATTATTATTATTATTTTTTTTTACATACTCCTTCTTAGTGTGGTGACTTGGGGTCCATAAATATAACAATACAAGCTGATAAACCAAAAAGAACAACTGGGGTAGGTAGGTAGCCCTGGTGGGTGCGTAAACTTTACGGTCTGCTCTCTCCAAGATCAGCCTGCTTCTCCATTTTACCGTGAAGCCTAATTTCTAGTTTTTATAAAATATACAATGCAAGTGCAGGTTTACTAATCTTAATCTACTTAACTACTCAATAGCCCAAGTCACCATACCCGTAGTATATTCCATGGTAATAGAAGAGCTTTAAAGTTTTTCAAATTGTTGCTATAATTGATTTAAATAAAAATTTGTTGTTTTCTTGAAAAATTTGTTGTTTTCTTGTGAAAATTTGCAGCCTTCCAGACATCGATTGGGTTAACGAGTTGTCGTACGTCACCTCAAGATCGGGTGACAGGGGGCTGAACAGGCCAGAACCCAATTGATTGGGTCTGAGGTCACGTGATTATGAGCCTGAGGTCACGTGACTATGACGTCACCAGAGCTCGTTCTCCGTTTCCCGCTCTTTGGACCAGGTGAGCTTGCATGCATGTGAAAGTGGGTGTAAGTACAGCTGTACTGTAGTTACATCCAATTACCCCTAATAGAACGAAGATTTATTTTCTGACAGAAAGCTAGAAATTTACCAAAATATCGACTTTGTTCAAAATTTATTTTGATGACCACTCCTGACCTAAAATTGCACGAGAAATCGATTAAACTTGGTTTCAGAACTCAACAATGCTTCCTTATGCCTTAAAATCCATGTTTTATCGATACAATAAACATTTTGATCCTGTGGATTAATTAGTAACAGGTAACAAATGCACAGAAAAAACCATCACACTTACATTGCATTCTTAACGGATCGATTTCGAGTGACCAATAATCGTCGTGATGATATTTATACGTCATGCGTTCCTGATCATCATCAGCAATCAAGAGACAGGAGCAGCGGTTGCTTCAAATCAATGGTTTACGTTATTTTTGTGAATTCGACCCCTGTTTTAACGGTTATCAGACTTTGTAATTGAATGTATTGAGGATATCTTTACAAATAAGAGGACCAGTAAATAAAATTGCCACAAGTGTTTCTCTCACTCACTTTCGATAAGACACAATGAAAATTCTTACTTAACCATAAGATTCGGAATTTTTCAACCGTTGAAGAATATCGGAATTTTATAAAATCTAATCACACTTATCAACCTTTGAACGGTTAATCGAAAAAGTGTGAATGATACCGCTGCAATTGTCTTATCAGTTATATGTATAAAACCTTGCGTTAGGTGGCAGTTAAATGAGGAATGAGTTGTTAGAATGACGCGACGGTTATTTCCAATGATATCTTTGTATTGTATTGCAATTTGTGCAATTTCAGTTGGGCAGCTTTTTAAAGTGTCTGTTTTTTCAATTTTCGTAAACCTACTACCTAGGAATTTTTTGAATTTTAAAATCCGGCAATCCGATCCCCGGATATTATTTGAAGTCTTTTAAATTTGATTGAATGATGAATTTCAGCCGATGATGAACAAGATGTGCGGAGGGAGGGTGTGGCCGATTGTCTGAAAATCCTTGACTGGGAGGAGAAGGTACCACCCTCCCGACGTGTGAGGGTTTTTTACAAGCCAGATTTGAACATGACCGCAAGGAAGTTCACCGAGCTCCCCATCTATAAGGAGGATTCTTGTGGATGGTGGTTTAAAACGGGAGTTGGTAATAATAATTATTTTAAATATACCTTTTTTGCATAATTTATATCATATGTTAACGAGCTTAATCAATCATTTATTCAACATATTATACTCGTACTAATGTGTTCGAGTTAAGTTATAGTTGCTTCAGTCTCAGTACATGATTTAAATACAAAATAACACAATTATCCTCAGCAAAGAAGGAGTATGCTCGGGTAACCCTACCCCCCTTGCTACATGGTCTGACGAGAGCCGCTATCATCTCCTATATAAGAATGCCTCTCAAAACGGTATTTGTCAACAACAATTAAGCCGTTGAGAGGCAAGTGGCTCTTATGTCAACCTGTGGTAAGAAAGTGGTAGGGGAGGATAGGAAGTCTGGGCAACAAATTGCTGTCGCAGAGCACAGACAGGAAACGAAAAAGCAGAAGAACTAACTGCTGATGGAATTTCATACGATTCGTTGATTTTTTGTAAAAATTGAACTAACATTTTATAAAATTCCGATATTCTTCAACGGTTGAAAAATTCCGAATCTTATGGTTAAGTAAGAATTTTCATTGTGTCTTATCGAAAGTGAGTGAGGGAAACACTTGTGGCAATTTTATTTACTGGTGCTCTTATTTGTAAAGATATCCTTAATACATTCAATTACAAAGTCTGATAACCGTTAAAACAGGGGTCGAATTCACAAAAA